CAGTTAAAAAGCATGTAGAAGTTCTGATTGTATGTCCCAAACGAATCTACACCACAACGGAGGGATAAAACATCCCCAAATAATCTGTTAACCACTAAAATTTCCATGAAAATTTATTTATGAAAGACATGAATTTAAATATTTACAATATATTCAACATATAAAATAATTTTTTACTTATATTTTAATGTTGAATATCTTAATTTGAAATAAATGTAATCAAAAACAGCAAAAATTAGAGAAAAAGTTGTGCCTCAAAATATTCAAATTTTGATTATTTTGCAATTTTACTCGGGAAATAATATTTTATTTATTTTTTTTATCATATTTTGATTATTTGATTCCATTTTCAAGGAAAAAATTAAATATTCGATTGAGATCAATCATATTTCTCAAAAATCGGCTAGTGACTTTCCCCCTGGTTAAACCGATAACATGCGATGCAATTAAAAATTTTCTGTTTTTTTTCCAATGTTGCCATGTGACATGGTGGAAAAAATCACATTGAAAACTTTGTCTCGCCATTGTGATGTTATGAGCTGTTTTTCATCAGTTTTTTTTTCTGCTCGCCAACAATGGGATGGAGAGTAGTTGGAAAAGCGGGGCTGTTGAGCTCTCAATCTAGATTAAAGTTGGACTGAAAGGTCTGACTTTATCAGGAGTGGAATAAAAGTGAGTCAACAACTATTGTTTCACCAGGAAGTTCCATTCTACGCCCTCTGTTGCTAATAACTCCGACATGGGGGTGCTTTTCCCCATGAAATATCTGCCCTTTTTCCCGCCCCTTCCACCACGTCGAATTGCCTCTTGATAAACAAAATAACATCTTGAGTCGACCCTTGAGGAAATTTCACAAAAATGCCCAGTTGAGAGTCATAAAGCCCCCCAAACTATCATCGCATACCTTTTTTTTCTTCAAGACGCGCCCCAGGGCGGTGCGACAGTGGAAAAGGCTCTCACGGGGCTTTTGGCTCGATTTGAATGTTCCTCAGGGTGAAATGTGTGTGAAATTCCGCTTAAACATAATCAATTCTCAAACAAGCTTTCAGCATTTATTACGGAGATCAATGGCGCGCGGAGAGCTTTTGTGTCGCAATGGGCGAAAATCTGCACAGAAAGGATGTGAAAAGAAGGAGAGCTTTTCACGGGGAATGAGACAAAATGTCTTTTTTTTGGGGAATGATTAAAGAGAGTTTCCGCCTATTTCCGTCCTCAACACAGCATGGCATAGTTTCGATGCTGCTTAATAGGATTTTTTACAGCTTTGGCATGTTAGACAAATGATGACACTTCAATTTTCCAGCCAGAAAGTTACTGCAAATATGCAATGAATATTGATCCGAAAGTCCGTTGAGTATTGAAAGCTTTGTAATATTTATTAATGTTTCAACTGCGTTCTTCTGGCATAGAGAAAAACGGGGTTTAACGAATAGTCTTTCTTTTCTCAATCATAATACACTTTTTTATGCAATTTCACTACACAACAATGGCCATTGAATTGCAGGAAAAATCCCTCAGTGTCTTTTATTTCTTCGAAATCGCTCAACTTTTTCTGAGTTTGTCGCGAGGCAAAGGGAAGAAAGGAGCAGAAATGGGAAAAGCACACTATACAAAACTCCGTAGCCGAGGTTTTGTATGACAAGTTTTGCGCTTAAGCGACAAAAAAAACTCCGTGGAAACCACCTCATCCCGATCATGCACACTTTCCCGTGACAATTCTTTCCTCATTTCACCCGCAAAACACTGTGGTCTGTCGAAATTTCAAGTTTTTCTCTTCACTCAACTCAGCAATTCGACCTCAAAAGCCTTCGTTGGCTTGGATTATTTAACGTGCACTGCAGTATTTTTCATTTAGGCAAACTTGACGAGCTGCGAGAGAGAATGAAGAATGTTTTCCGGGTAGTTTTGCAACTCAATGCCGAAAATCGGGTGGAAGTTTGAAGGGTCGCCAGAGTTGGAAATGCTTTTCCATCTTCTGCGCCCTATTAACTTTCCATTCGACCCCGGCGTGGTTGCCACATGAAAAGGAAGTCACTCTGTTGGAACATAATTAATCGATAGCAACACTCTTTGTTAGCAAGGAGAATATTACTGAATAGTTTGGGAACCTCATCGTGATTCCTCAATTTCCACCATTAAATGTACTTTAGACACACTCTTCGATGCTTTCATGCAATTGGGAAGCATTCCGTTCGTTAATATTCATTAGAATGTCTACGGATTCATTTGCAATTAATCTAATTGCCTCTTGTCTAGACTAATACAGTGTCCATGAGATATATTTGGCTCCACAGAGACCACGAAGGATACACAAGTTCAGAAGATGCTTTTGGCATGAAAAATTCAAGAACCATTGCAACTAAAACTGTCACAAAAACTACAAAAGTCTGATATATTTTTGAGGTTTTAGTCTCTGTCATGACACTGAATTTCAATTGTGTAAATTCATGAAGAACTTGAGTATACAATGTAATATTTCTCACCATCACGTTTCGATGAATATTTCAGTTGTGAAGGCAACTTAAAAGTCACGTTTCTTCCCTCGATGAACACCCCGTGGGATTCCCTATTAATTTTTCCCCAGATTTTCTTTCTCTCCTTCTTCTATGCGCTCATTCTTATGCCATTGGAAAGCTGTTTCACTTGGGAACGCGTTTTGATGAAGAAGATTATGAGATATATCGCTGCATATTGCTTTCTTACTTTCCACTTTCCTGGCGGGGGCAGAAGAAGAAGAAAAAAAAAGTGGTGAAATGCGAAAGAATAAAATCCCCAAAATACAGGAAATAATATAAAGGATTCTGCTGATGATGGATTGAATAAATTTCCAGCATGGAAAACCTTTTAATATTGGCGTAGAGGGAATCCGTGTCATTAAGTCTCTCATGCTGGGGCTGGAAAGTTTTCAATATTAAATTTCCACAAAAAGTGCGAGAGAGAGGGAAATTGTATAAATATACCTCAAGTACAATTTCATGGGTGATGTTTTCAGCACTTTGTGCCACCCTCGGCGTCAAACCCCGCCGACCGACAACGCGCTATCGTGGAACCAGAAAAGCTCCTCCACTTTCTGCTTCTGTCCATGGGTTTGTGAGTGGCTGTGACAAAAATAAACCATGGTTTTTCCATGGAAAATGACGGAAGTGAAAATCTATTTTCAATTCTATTCTTCAGCCATCCTCAACACATTTCTGCATATACATATTTATATATCGTGCAAAATACAAGTTTTCCACTCATCATCTCGCAATTGTATTGCGCGCGTCCGACAGTGAGATGGAAAAACCGTTTCCCCGGGTTTCTTCTCATTGAAAAACCACAAAGAGAATATCATCCCTTATTTCGTATAAATATGTAATTTTACACTTTTCCGCGGCAATTCACGAGACAGTGAAATATTAAATTAAATGACTGACAAAAGACTATAATTAATTAAATGCGACAGACTTTTTCCGTGGCCTGTATTTTGCCCGTATATTTGCTCGGGATTCCGGTCCGTTGATTGTGGTCTTTTTAACATGATTTGCAACAAAATATCAATTAGGAATTATGCAAAAATATCCGCACAAAATTCGGTGTTTATCAATCACTGATGCGTTACATCACATATTGCGTAACATCCGTGGGAAGAGGCAAATTATGAGGATTCCGCGGAAAAGCTAAAATGATATTAAAATTACAACCCACGTTAAAAATTGAGATTAATTAATACGTGAATGTTTATTTATAGTGTTTCAGCAGCCACATTTGATGCCCTAAATTTACTTTAAAACTACAATCAAGGCTGTAATTTCTTCTACCGATTTTCATATCCCAAAAATCCCCGTCTTTGCGTGCGAATCCTTAACGTCACCACAAACGCTGCCATATTGGTTGAACCTTGACCAGAATCATGGCGATTAATAGTGTAGAATGTGGATTAAAACTAAGCGATTCAAATGCACAACCCAAGTTTCCCACATTCCGAAATGATTGTGAAAGGCCACAGTTGTCTTGAGCTAAGCAAATCGCATGCTTAGGAATTTTCTTTCATCCCTCAAATAGTTGTGCTGCAAACCCCCTGAAAAGCCCCCTATTCACTCACAAACCTGACCAGATAGTCAAACACACACACACTCTCATCTCGAGCAAGAGTGGCAGAAAGCTCCCTCCGAAAATTTCTCTTGCGAGCTTTCGCGAGAGTCCTTCGCGGTGCGCATGGCAATTGGATGCTCAGCGATGTGAAATCTGCTCCAGTTCCGTAGGAACACCCGCGCCGAAAGCTCCCCGTGGCCCGAGTCGTGGGTGTGTGCGTGAGCCGAAGGAGCTTTCGCCCAACATCCCCCCTTTCGCAACAACACACGCGCGGAGCAATTGGATTCTCCCCCGAGTACACAGTACCACTGTAACACGGAGGCAGATGAGGATTTTCAGGCAAAATGTCCTAGAAAATGTGCAAAATTCGAGGTTGTGGGGGTGAAAATGGTGGGAAAAGTCAGTGGCAAGATGTTACGCAAGTTCTTGGACGCAAGTTTCCCATCAAGTTGAGCACGATGAACATGACACAGTGGTGGCAGTGATGTTGTGGGAGATTTTTGCATTTGATAGTGCTGCGAGCTTTCTGGCGTGAAAGGAGAAAAAAGTGTGCGAAGGAATCCATAGTGAAGGCATACTTCCTGGAGTGAGCTTTCAGCCTTTTGTGCGTAAAGTGCCAAAAACTCGGCCACGGCGCGGGGCAATGCTGCGAAAAGACTGTGTGGAGCGGGGGTGGAAGCCATAGTGGGTGCTGTGTGGTGGGTGGTGGACAAAGGCACGGTGAAAGTTCATTGAAACTGAAAATACCCCCCGAGAAAGCTCTACTCTCCCATGTCATGTGTATTTGTGAACTTCCTTCCGACCTCGCATCACACAATTCATTTTTGGGCAAATTCATGTCACAAGAGCGTGCGCCTCAGAGGACACAGGAAAAGAAGCCAGCAAAGTGTGTTCATGTACTATAGCAATGTGGCGCTCTTTCGCAGATTTCCGATGATGATCGCATGAGTCTCACCACTGCTGTCTCAGATGAGGATGATGGTGAAAGTGTAATGGCTTCGCCGTACAAAGCAAAGGCCACGGGAACTGCAGCAGCATCTTTCAACTGTACAGGAGCTGTGAGGAAGGCTGGGTGAGTGAGAAATTGACAAATTATGCAAATACGCACGTCGAAGGCGGAAAAGCACAAAAGCTCTCTCCCTGCTTTTTTCACCCCCGCGCGCGCTCGCTCAATGGGAGAAATAATACGGAAATGTAGGCAAATTTGCCAAATTCCCCGAGTCATTCCACCCCAATAGGCCGCCATCAATCGAGATTTAATGGTCAAAATTGCCCCCGCGACCGAAGAAAATCGCGCACACATACAGGCGAGAGAGAGAGAGAGTGTGTTACATAATCGCAGGCCCAGAAGTGAAGAATGAACTCACACCACCCGCACAGCGAAAAGGTCACACGCTGTGATGAATGAACTGAGAGAGAGAGAGGAGGTCTCATTAAAAATTCAAATACTGCCATGGCAAATACGGGTAATTCCAGTCCAGCCAATCAGAAATTAACCTCATGAGATCATCTAAATTCCGCCGCAGTAGAATGTTGGTTAATGAGTTAAGAGAGAGATGCTCACGGCAGAGAGATTTCCCACTTTTATTTGGCGCTATTAAAAGTTTTCAGGGGTCGCTGGAATTGTCCGAAATTGGCTACTTTTGCCACGAACAGAGGAGATTTAATCCACTAGAGATATGCAAAGGAGATCTAATTTGGATTGGCAGATTAGGTAAATGAGGTTACAGACTTAGAAATGCCAGACAAGCACTCTTGCTTTGAAGACATTCCCAGAGGGAAGGACTGAAACCATAAAAGCACCAAGAATATTTGCTCTAAACAAAGCGAATTGCAAGTAGAGAAGCAGGGCTAAAAATAGATGTGAATCCTGTGGAAAACCCTTTGTTTACCTGGAGAACTTTTTCCCAGTCAATGCAACCATATTTCAATTAGTAATGAAAATAATATTCCATTGACCCAATTTCTCACTGAGACAATAGTTTAACTTGATTATTTCCGAGAAATAACATTCCATATTGCAAATGCACTTTGTTATTAGCTAATGAAATTTTATTGTTGATTCTCTATGGCAAAGAGCAGATATCAGCACTTCCTCTCAATGATAAATTCCGACAAATAGTTCAGCCAAAAGCACGCTTTTGGCCCCTTGATTTTGTGCCATAAATCTCACAATCACGTTATTAATTTTGTCGGAAATCTCTCTCGTGAATAGGCAAATAATTAGGGGATTTCGGAGTGCCCGCGGATCCCATATCTCATTGCAACAGCGACTCAATTTGCACAAATAAAGCGCGCGCGTTTATGGGCAATAAAAGTTTTGCAGGAAATTTGCAAAGTCGTAAACGACTTTTGTCCATCCCGTCAGATTCCTCTCGGTGAAGAAATGGCTGCTGCGAAAGAAGCATCAGATTGAATTGGCGCGGAAGCGCGGATGGAAGGGCTACTGGGTGTGCCTGAAGGGCACCACCTTGCTCTTCTACCCCTGCGACTCGCGCGAGGGTCGCTCCGTCGAGGCCGCCCCGAAGCACCTCATCATCGTCGATGGGGCCATCATGCAGCCGATCCCGGAACACCCCAAGCGGGACTACATCTTCTGCCTGAGCACAGCTTTCGGGGACGCCTATCTCTTCCAGGCTCCGTGTCAGGTAATGTTCACTGAATTAACCCTCCATCTACCATAAATTCACTGTAAAAGTCGCTGCAACATTACGGATTTCGTATTTGGCGATGCAACTTTACCTTTTCATGGCTTACATTGACGACCGGAGTAAAAACATAGATTTTTATGTACTTGAAAATGCATTGAAAAACCAATTAGTTTTCTTGGAAAAGATCAAAGGACGTCCGGAAATACATAACCTCAATCTGGAGTATTGAAATGTACACAAATCAGATCAGAAAAATCCTTTAAACATGTATTTATCTACATAAAAATATCATTATTGATCTATTTCCTTGATTTTCACGTAAATCACGAGCTTCAGAGTTTCTAGTAGATAAATTCTGGCAACACTTTTTTATTTAAAATGTTACGAAAGTAAAGTTGCAACGACGCTTTTATTTGTCCCTTTCTGAACTCCTTCAGTCTGTGAGTCTGATTTTGCACGACAAATCAATTTTCACGCAATTTTCATGTCCGGAAAGCTTTCACATTGACAAAGAGCAAGAAACTTTCACGTCTTAAAGCTCTATTTGAGGTCTTAACGTGGGAAAACCTTTATCTTCTCGGCCCATAACTCACAACTCTGCTGCAATCTCGTGGAAATTGATCATGTATCATGTTGTTTGGCAGGTGGAGCTTGAGAATTGGGTGAATAGCATCCACAGTGCGTGTGCAGCGGCGTTTGCAAGGCATCGGGGCAAGACGGGCACCCTTCATTTGCTCCAGGAGGAGATATTCCGCCTCGAGAAGGCGATAGAATCGGTGAGATTCCGTCTGTGAAGACTGGCTTGACGCGTGACACTAATTAATTTCCGCCTCCGGCAGGATCACAAGCTGAAGCACATGGCGGAGCTGCAGCAGAGTGTGGTGACGGATCAGGACACTCGCCATCAGATCCAGACGCAGATTCTGCAGTGGGAGGAGAACCTGGAGCGTCTGCATTGCGAGCAGTTCCGCCTCAGGTGCTACATGGCCTCCCTGCAGAGTGGCGAGCTTCCGAATCCAAAGGTGAGTGTGCTCGTTAAGATGATCAAACGCCCAACCCACCCATTGAGCATGAAGCATAACAATATTACTTTGTCGTCAGAGGCGAGAATATTGCATTTCTCTCTCTCCCTCTTTGGGCATCTCGCATGGATTTATGCACGATGCTCTCAAATGACCTGCATTGTTCTCGGGTGGTATTCAAATTTTTGCTCAAATCCTCTCAAATTGTTCACTCTAATTGCTCTCACGCTATTCAAGTTGTCTTCAGCATCCTTTTCGAGCAATTGAGCACACAGTGTCTTTCACTGTGGCCTAATTGCACTTTCAAAGCTCTCCAAAAAGCTTCGCATAAATATTCATTAAACAGGCGTTGACCGATGTTAAAGATAAGGATTTATGTGCGTTAAAGTCAATGAAAACATTCAGGCTTATCAGGAATTCCCACTATTTACTTTATTCACCAATCCATTTAGGAAATATAATCCCAGTGTTTGGATTTAACGCCTATAAAATCATTCAATTTAAGCATCGCTTTAAACATCATTGTATGAATTTATTCATTATTGCGGAACTTCACTCAATTATGGCGTTATTTAATTTTCAGCAGTTGCTCAAAAGCTCACATTTTCTTCACATTAATGCTCTTTTGCAGTCTCTTCTGACTCATGTGTCGCGACCAACGAAAAACACCCTGAATAAATTGGGTGTCTTTACCGTGTCATCTTTCCATGCTTTCATCTGTGCTCGTTCGCCGTCACTTCTTAATAATTTGCTGGCCGGAAGGGGCGCCACAAAGCGCAGGGCGCCCCTTTTATCACGCTCCAACAGCAGCTCCAGTCGACGGTCTATGCAGGTAAGGAGATTTGAACGTCTTCGAGGGAGTTTGACGAGCAGAAAGTTGAATTTCTGCATGAAAAATGTGTTATCTAATCCGGGGTTTTGGAATTTTATCTGCACAGAATGTGCGCGTGAATTACCTGAAAATCTATTTAGACAGGCGATTTATTAACACATGGCTAATTTTGTAGTAATTAAAATTTTAATTGCCTTTATTAATTAAATTTAATTAATCGTACATACCGCATATAAACATTTACGTGTTATGTATTCGAACAACACCGGGTCGCGCAGGGTGCTTTTGAAGGGGGAGGCAAAACCCCCACTCTGGGACCCATTAAAATCTGTGTCGGTCCATATTTGAATATTTAATTTTTAACTGACACAACGACCAATTTGCTCATCACTTGGGAATGCCGAAGCTTTCAATATTCCACCCGGAGAATTAATTAAATTAACATGAAGGGATGTTTGCCTAGTGCGACCCTAAACTCAGCCCTTTTCCCTCTCTCTCTCTTTCTCTCTCCCTCCGCCGTGGAAAACACAGATGGGCTCACGCGATGACCCGGACAAAACGTACAAAATCTCATTGCCGGACAACAATCACACGACCGTTCACCTGCGAGACGCGATGTCAGTGGAGGAATTTCTGGCCAGTGCATGCGCCAGGAAGAGCCTCAATCCCATGGAGCACTTCATACGGGTGAAGAAGAGACGAGATATGGAGGATCATAACTACTTTGTGCCTCATAGAAACGACCTAATTGACACTTACGTGAGTTTTCCCGACCCTCCCCCAAATTGCCGCCCTCCGGATGAGCCGGGGAATTAATTTGCCAACCCTCCTCCTCTTTGCAGCTCCACACACACGAGGTGGTGGAGGTTTGCGCCAAAATTTTATACCAAGTTGAGCTGCAGAGGACGACATTGGAGCAAATGTGGGGCTTCTCGGTGGAAGCGGAACTCATCGAGAATGCGGATCGACAGGACGAACTCTGCTGCTACGTGAGTCGTGTGGAGGAGAAGAGTGTGGCGATGCAGAACGGTGAGTATCGCGATTTCTGACCCTTTCATTCACTCACATTCCTTATCAACCCCCGGGCATGTGATGTATGAAAAAACACAGATGAGTTTCACTTGCAGAGTCTGCAAAAGCCACATGCAAATTTTACATATTAGCTTAGTCGCTAAAAAGTTTACATTGGCGAAAGCGAGAATAGAACCGGAGATTATACATTATGTATAGACTTGTAAATAAGTCTCGGTGTTTGGCGCACTCAACTCGTGTTTTGCATATGAAATGAATGTGCATTCATTAATTATAGATATCACAAAGGGAGATTTCCTTTCTTAAACAAATTAAAGCGTCGTTGCAATTTTACTTTCATAGCATTTTAAATAGGCTGTCAAAAATATGAATTCGTCAAAAGGTGTTGCAAGACTACAAAACAGGGAAACAGAGAAAAAAAGGGAATTTCACGAGAAAACCGAGGAAATAAACAGAAATTATGTCTTTAGGTTGATTAGCAAAGATATATTGCATTGAACCAGATTGAGGTTATGTATTTCCGGACGTTTTATGATATTTTCCAGAGAAACTAGAGATTTTCCCAAAGCTTTTAAACGTACATCAAAGACTAAATGAATTTTTAACAACTGAAATTCGTATTAAATAAAATCCCAACTTTGCCTTCTCGTTCGTATTTCATTCGTGCTTCACACTAGCGCCATCGAGCGTCCGCAAATATAAACTATGAAATAGTTTAGTCACAACACCAAATTAGTAGCTTTTACGAACCGAAATATGAATTTCGTAATGTTACAACGACGTCTTAAGTCAAATAAACGAATTAAGCTTTCTCCCATTAAGGTTTCTGGGTGAAAAATGAATTTTCAGCAGTACTTGAAAGGAAACGAAGAGAGAATAGGTCACGTTAATCGGAAAAGGCAATGTCTACCGCAGATTTAAGGAATTGTACGAGAAATCAAAATTAAAAATTAATTTTCCATTGTCTCTTCTCAACCACACATAATCCGACGTCATTCTTCTTGTATTGCTTTCTCTGGGTTTTTCACTTAAATTACACTTCAGCTCTCGGAACAATGGCCAAGTGGCTTCCAGAAATAATTTATTAAGCCCTTTTGTACACAAAGTGTACAACAATTACAATAGAAATTATATAAACCACAAATTTTAATTTTTACTCATGAATTTTTAATATTGTCGCTGGTGTAATGTGCCAAAAATCCCCTAGAATTTGTAATGTATTTATAAAATGCATGAATTTTGAATTCTATCCCCCAAAAATTTCCATATTGCAATATTCCATGAAGTAATTTCAGCGTGAAAAGGTGCAATTAAACTTTAACTACTCGCGCGTCAAACTTTACGCCTTTTGGCTGTTATGGAAAAACAATAATCTAAATATGTATGAGCGATGGATGGAAATTATATATATTTGTCAAAAACTAGACAAAATAGGGGTGAATTTGAGGGTTCGACGAGGGGCGCGGGGGAAAGAATGACTTTGCCACCCACTGGGTTGGATCTGTTTTAGTGGAGAAATTCCCTCAAATATTTGCTCTTTCGAGTGCCGCGAGCAATCTCTTTGTGTTTTTCTCGCAAAATAAATTTCCATGAGTGTGCAGAGAGGCTGTGCTGAGCTACTATCTCGCGCGCTGTTCTGCTTCGGGAAGTTCGGGGAAAATATTACAGCGAGCACCACAGAAAATTTCTAGATTCTCCCCCCGCAGAGGAGGGAAAAGTCAGGACATGGAAGAGCGATAAACAAGAGTTATTATGCTGTTGAGATGAGAGCTGAAGTGGCCCCTGATTTTTTCGCCGTGGAGACAGAGAAAAGGCGATGGTAATTGACACATGCGGACACTTTTGGCTGCAGGATTGATAAAGGGTGACGAGATAATGGTTATCAACGGTGCCATCGTGTCGGATTTGGACATGATGTACCTCGAGAGCGTGCTGCAGGAGGAGCAGGCGCTCTGCATGATGATGAGGTCCTCGAGAACGGAGCCGCCGGATTTGGCCGGGATAATGCGCGTCACCGATGACATGATTGACTCCCTGGTGTGCCCGCCGCCGCCCTCGGATCCACCCATCATGAGCGAGGAGATGATTTCCGGGCTGATTGTTCCGGCTCCTGGATGGAGTGAGTCGCAGCTCAGTCTCCGGTGGGATGGCCGTGCTAATTGATTTCCCATTCTCTCTCTCCTCCCTGGCAGAGCCCGAGTACGCGACGTCGTCCGGCATGGAGTCTCAGGCGGGCCAGAAGCAGCTGCGGAACAACAGCTTCGAGATTGAGAATCTGCTGAAAACGGCCGAACAGGTAAATATCCAATTACTCTAATTAATTTCCCCGCCCACACTCTAGAGAATATCCACCCCCTGCATTCCACCCCCCGCCCGCCCGCCCCGGGAAAAATTGCATGTTTTCATCGAGTTGCTTCATTTGATGATTAAATCCTGTGGGAGAGACTCAATGGGGGCTCTTCAGCAGCAAACACTCACTAGTGGTTTCTAGCTAATTCATCGGTTAAAGTGCTCCACCTTTGAGAAGCTGGTTCACAACTCCTAATCCGAAGGGGTTACCTTGTGGTTTCTCGGTTTACTCCTGAAACTGGGTCAGTTTGTTGTTTTGTGACTTAGGATTTCACTGTGCAATTAGGAAAATTACAGGATAAAGACAGCTTATGAGCGGAGAAATTTGAAAACTCATTAAAAATCAATATTAGAATTCTGCCGTGCATGAAATCAAAGTAATTTCTTGTGGAAATACTTATCATTTATGTGTTATCAAGGGAGAGATAGTATGCCTAGAATCTGTACACCACTTCCTGACACTTTCACAATTCCTCTATTTTTAAAGACATTTTTTGCCTTTGGAAAATGCTTACATTAATTGTGCGGTTAAAAATCCTTCATTGGATAATATCAATCCTGAATTTGCCAATTTTCAGCACAAATTGCGGAAATAACTAAGCAAAGAGACATTTTTTCACACTGCAATGATATATTTTGAAGTTATGATTGACTTTTAAGCTTGTTTTCAACCAATGTGATGTTTCTTCTAACTAAAATGTTCAAATTTGGTGAGAAAAAAAGGAATATTCTTAGCTGAAACACAAATTGGGTGATTTTGAGGATTATTTAATCACCAGAAGCTATTTTAAATCAATCACATAACCTAAAAAAGCAATAAAATGGATTTTTCTAGGCAAAATAATTTAGAAAATGACTCAATTTGTTGAAATAGAAGCTTTTGCATTGGAAATATTCTAAAAATTTCACCACTTCCTAACACTTCTTTTAAAAAGCTGTACACCACTTCCGGCCATAATATCTGCCCCTTGTGTATTACTTAGGAATTTATAGTGAAATTAATTAAAATGTCAATTACACTGAGAAGATTATTTTCAATTTATATTTTAATTAACATTTTTGACATAATTGCGATCTCATGAGAAACATGAACCAGCTTTTCCATCAAAGTATACATATTTTCCAGTGTGTAAAAGCTTTTCCAGTAGAAACTCTAGAGCTTCTCATCTGCTTCAACATAAAGCTATGTTTCAAGAACAGCTCTCTATCATAGGTAGTATCTTGGACGTTGTCACAAAGTAGTTTCGCCGAGCTTCAGCGTGAAAAAGGCGAGGAAAAGAGCGTGGGAAAGCAATGGTCAGAGTGTCCAATCGTGTATGAGTGATTTTGCGAATGTTTGAGCAGATCTTGATGGCTTTTACACTCCAACGCTTGGCTGGTCACTCTGACAATTGGATTCTCGCTCGGTCCTCGGCTCTTCTGCATCCGCGTCGGAAAGACCCAAGTTTATCTCTCCAATTGAATTTCTCAGAGAGTCTCTTCTTCCTCGAAATAATTAGATTACGGGCTTCTGTCGTTCACCCCAGGAGACGAGAAAATCGAGTCCAACGGGATCAGTTTCCTCTTCCATTGCCGGATTGGCGCCATCGCGACAGCTGAGCGACGCGGAAAAATTGAGAAAAGTGATACTAGAACTAGTCGATACGGAAAAGACTTATGTTAAGGTTGGTCAAATGGAAAATCACATTTTCTTCTCTCCCTTTTTTTCTTTTCTTTCAAATGCAGTGAAATTTCTTGGTGCCAACAGAAGAAAAATGTCTCACTCATCCCAAAATGTCTCTCTCTCTTTTCTCATGTAATTTTGCAGCATTTAAATAATTTACTCGAATACTATTTGGAGCCGCTGAAGCGCGAAACATTCCTCTCCAATGCCGAAATTGCCGCACTGTTTGGGAATATTCAGGAAATTGTAGCATTTCAGCGTCAATTTTTGCAAAATCTCGAAGAAGCACTCGAACTCGAGCCGGACTTTTATAAATTCGATCTGCCATGTCAGTTTAAGGTGAGTGTTTTGTCATTTTTGCTCATCCACTCAATCTTATTGCAATTTTCTGTCTCTTTGCAGAATGTTCTCTTCTCCATTGGTTCCGCTTTTCTCTACTACGTTAATCATTTCAAGCTCTACTCTTCGTTCTGCGCGAGTCACAGCAAGGCGCAGAAAGTGCTGCATCCCAGTGAGTATTTGCAATTTTATGTGGAAAATACACTGTTGGAAAGTAGAACAGAGAATCGCATTCAATTATTTCCCATGGGAGCGCGTTTTGAGACCATTAACTTTGTAAATATTCAATGATTGAATGAATTTCAATAATTCCTTGACTATTTCGTGATTTTTGTTCAAATTTTGATCATTTCATACAAATTTCAATCATTTTTTGATTAATTCCTGAATATTTAATCAAAATTTGAATTTTTTCAAACAAATTTCAATCAATCATTGTTTTGTTGTTATTTTTATTCAAATTTGGATTTTTTTATTATTAAAAATCTGATTATTTAATTTTATTCAAAATTTGATTATTCGGAATAATCATTTATTGATTATTTTATTCAAATAATTATATATTTGATTGAGATTATTAAATTTCCTAGAAAATAGCACTGTGACTTGCCTCTTGATTATTTCCCCAAGATTATTGCACCCCTAAAGAAAACCCGGTAGATTTTCTAACAGTGCAATTGTGGAATTTACATTTACATTTCGCAGACAAACATTGACACTATAATTGAATTTTGGGGCGTGAAAGCAATTTGAGTATGAAGTGCATTTCCGCTGTCTAATTCGCAGACGAAGGGAATCAAGCTCTGCAGGAATTCCTGGCGGCGCGCAATCCGAAGCAGCAGCACAGCAGCACGCTGGAGTCCTTCCTGATTAAGCCCATTCAGCGAATCCTCAAGTATCCACTTCTGCTGCAGCAGCTGCGGAATTTGTCTGATCCGAATGCAGAGGAGCATTTGCATTTAGTCGGTGAGTGCGCCATCACACCTCTTATGCCAGTCATTCGCAAACTGGACTAATTAGGCAAATTAGTAGGGAAATTCGCATTGAAATTCCACGGGTATGATTAATTTGAATTTTATTAATGTCCCGGAAAAATTCAATTTGCACTGCAATCAGTATGAAAAAAAAGAGTGAATAATTTCTGTTCTCATTTCATTTTGGAAATTGAGCGCTTTTCCTCCTCTGTCCAAAATGTCACAATTTAATTTTGCCAAATTCCACTCTACTGAAATATCACAATAAATTCCAATTTAATTTTAATCACTTGTATCTATTGCCATAAATTTATGCTCGTGTTAATTTTTATTTGAATAATCAGTCGAGCCATGAACTGGTGAATTAACGCCGTGTGCATTTTCTCTCTCTCTGTCTGCAGAGGCACTGAAGGGAATGGAGAAGGTGGCTGAGCACATCAATGAAATGCAACGAATTCACGAGGAGTACGGCGCGATCTTCGATCACCTGTTCCGGCAGCACCAGAAGTCCTGCAAGCAGCCCATCGACCTCAGTCCAGGTACTCCACACTGTCCATCCTAAATGCGTGTCTGTTGCTCTGTGTGAACGCTGAGGCAGTCATGTGGTGAATAATTCTGAGAAGTTGTCTACCACTTAGGTGATCTGCTGTACTACGGCGGTGTGGAGTGGCTCAACATATCCGACTTCCTGGGGAAGATCAAGAAGGGTCTGGAGCTGCATGCCATGTGCTTCGTCTTCAAGTCGGCCGTGGTGTTTCTGTGCAAGGAGCGACTGCGCCAGAAGAAGAAGCTGATGGGCGTGTCCAGCAAGAATGCACCGAACGAGGTGGAGATCATCCGCTATCAGGTCCTCATTCCCGTCACGGAGGTTCAGGTGCGAGCCTCGTCAGCGAAAGACATGGACTCGCACTTCCTCTGGGAGCTCATTCATCTCAGGTCGCAACTCCAGAGACGCTCCGAGAAGGTCTACGTGCTCTCGAACAGGTGACAAGCTCAATTCTCTTCCTCATCCTGAGTTCAATTGCTAACCGAAGATTTCTCTGCAGCACTGCTGACTTCAGGAACGCCTTTCTGAAAACCATTCGTCAAATTATTAGGGAGAGCGTGCGAAACATGTCAATACCGATGAAGGGACTGGGCAGTCTCACTTCAGTTGCCGGACTGTCGGGTGTGTCGGCGGGAGGAAGCTCACAGACGCTCGAGAGACCAAAGCAGACCGTAAGACAAGCACAATTGCAGAAAACTAACAGCGACTAACTGAAGCATTGCTTGCAGATCACAATCATCCAGGGATCGCAGACGCTGGGCAAGATGAAGAAATCCAAGACTTCCCAACGCCACTCGGCCGGCAATTTGGACTACGACAATCTTATGAGCAGTCAGGATTGCGACGACATTCCGCAGCCACACACGACCTTCCGGAGTCGGAGTAAAACCGTGGGTGATTCTGCAGGTAGGTTCGCATGTTGTACCCAAAAGGAGACTCGCAGTAATCGAGCTTCCATCGTCAGATCCACCTCCAGTTCCTAAGCGCACCACCAGCGAGTTGGACCGTCACGATCCTGGCATCAAGAGCGAGGGTGAGGAAGATTCCCAGCATGGCACGGTTAAGGGAAAGGCCACCCTGGGGCGAACTCCAAACCACCTAACACTGAGCACAACATCGACCCTCTCCGTGGGCAGCACTGGCAGTCAGGCGCGCCTGATCCAGTCCTCCCACGCGCCGTCAACGTATCAGCCGGTGCTCATGAAGGACTTAGGTAAGAAGGCCACGTCGCCCAGCAAAGAGATAGATATTATAGAGTTGTTCCCCGAAACGAATGGGGAACACAAGATGGTAGATAAGCATTTGAGCGGTCTCGAGATAGACAGTTTCGATGCAGGCGACACGTGTGACATTGCAAAGTACATGGCGAATTTGAAAGAGGCTCATTTTGAGTGCTCTCAAGAGAGTGTCACGCCCAAGCAGGAGCGCAGTGCTGGAGAGTTGAGGAAGGGCACCTCGGAGGAGAGCAGTGACACTCCCAGAGAGAGTACAGAAGATGAGGGTACGAAGAGTAGTGTGACTGTGACGAAGAAGAAAGGCGGCAATGCCACAGGAACACAGAAATCTCAGGTAGAGCGTAAGAAGTCGGGTGAAGGAACGCCAAAAACGATATTGAGAACGACTAAGCACGATCTGCACTGTCCTCCTGACAAATCCAAGTCAACAGGCAGCAGTCCTGTTAAGATCATCAAGATCAAGTCTCCGAGATCATCGCGAAGTCCCCCAATGAAGAGGAGTCTGAGTCGCGACAGTTCGAGCATCGAACTGAGTCCTAGACCTGAGGGCGGGGGAATTCTCAAGCGATCTCACAGCACGAAGGCGGTGACGAGTGGAGACACAACTCCCAAATCTTCCTCTATTCTCAAGCGTTCGCTTAGTCCCAAGGATCTTCGCGCGCTGGATGGGCTTCCGTGTAAGGGCTTAAGTCCGGGCAGTAGCTTCGATAATCGCTCCCCGGATCGATCTAGTCCACACTTTCCTGACATTCCCTGTCCCAGGGCAATGTTCGATCGCTACTACTCTTCCGAGTCCGATCGTGAGTACGCGAACCAGAGGAGTCGCGAAATCGAGCGTCAATCGCGACTCCTCGCGAAGAAGCGCAGCACTTCGCGCTCCCCAGACTCACGATCGCCTGACTACTATAACAAACAGCGAATGCGAAGCTTGAGCGAATCTGCGTCCGTTCGCACAAGCTTCGACTCTGTCGAGTACGATCCCATGTACGATGGTCGCAGCCTGAGCGCCTCTGCGTCCATGGCGAACAGCTTCGACTATCCGTACTTCGATTACGGGTGTCACAGCTTCGACTGTTACAAGTCAAGGCAGAACCAGCCGATCATCGTTTCCGCCCCGCGGCGGTACGATCGCTCCCCAGAACGATATGTGGATGATTACATGTATCGCGGCAAGTCGAGCCCCAGACTCAAGAATTCCAATGAATCCCTGACCAGGGCCATCAGGCATCCAACGTGCGTGGACTGTCTGCTGCAGAGTCGCCGCATTTCCTAGCATAAGTCCCGCGTGCGTCAGAGTCGCACGCGGAAGAAGATCACGCGCAGCAAGTCCGCATCCCCGGGAGGCTCCTTTGAGCGCGGCGACGGGGTGTGCATTGACTGCAACGACACGTACGAAATTCACGTGTAACCGAGTACCTCTTCGGGCAGATGCAAATCAACCTCTCGCAGCTACTGATATTCGAGTATAGCCATGAGCAAAGGCAGTTGCGACACCCACTGCGGTGCATTTATCTCACTTGTTGTTTCACTTTTACACACACACAGCAAACAGAAAAGAAAGATTGGAAAATACCTTCTCACGAGTTACAAAGAAAATGTCTTCTTTTATACCAAGACCTGGAAGAAAGGAAACTTATATACAAAGTATAATCTTATAATACCTCTTCAATGGAATTTTTTGCTCGTTCACTTTGCAAAAGAGAGTAAATATAACACTTTATTAGGGATTCACGTTGTTTTGGCCACTTTCTTCACCCTCCCCGAGAGACTTTGTCACATAATAACCATAAAATATTATAAGAATGATAATCAAAACAACTAAATCTTTATCGATCGTGTTTAAAGGAATAAAAACAACGTAGAATATACAGGTATTTGAAAATGTTGTTAATTATCTCAAAAAGCCCATTGAGACATGAGTTAATATTTAACAAGACATGAAATTGTATTTAAAATGGAAATACTCTATATATACAATAAATATCTCCTTCGAAGAATTTACTGTCTATCTTGACCGTTGAAGTCCTTAACTACCATGAAAAGAAAGAAGAAAACTACGATTATAGGCAAATGAGAAAGAAATAATAAAAAATTAGCCAAAAGAAATAGTTTAATGTGAGCAGAAGAATAATCAAAATATTACTAGAATGAAATATTTATTGAGAAAATGTTGGAAAGATGCACTCTTTAATGATAGAATTCACCTCTCCTTTTGCAATTTCATCAGTATTTTATGTTTTCTAAAAATTGTTTTATTTTCTAACCAAAATGATGATCTTTTGTATGCTTTTTTCGTTAGTCTCCCGCCTCGCCATTATGTCTTCTTTTGCTCACTTGTCATCTACACAAATTCTTCATAAACGTTTTAGTGACAAAAAAAGCAGAAAAGAAAATATAACCCTGCAAATATTTTAGTAAAAGAAAAAAAACCAAAAAAACACAGAAAATAATTGAAAAAAATTTATTGGATTGAACACAAAATTCTCATTTTCACATCAAAAATGCATTTTCCCCTTATTTTCTAAATATCTTTTTCAGTTTTATTTCTTCCAGTCACTTCTTCTTCCCCTTTTATCACAAATGCACTAAAATAAAAAGCAAAATCAAATGAAATAAAGGAAACCCAAATCAATGATAATCAGAAACATATAAACATAGCTAAAATATGGAGAAAAAAAAACTTATTAAATAGTGGAAAACAAGACAAATTAATCCAAAAAAAAAAATATTGAGATTGACTAAAATTTTCAACGCTCGTGCAAATCTCATTTAATTTTCCGCCTCTTTTTTTCATAACTTGTCTGTGACTATCAATTATGTTCCTCTTCAGTGGTTATTCTGTGCATTTTTCTCTCTGTTTTTAGTAATGAATTTAACTGAGACAAGAAAATTTAGCAAAATCAAAATCCAAAAGTGAAATGTGAATGTGATTTTTGTACCGATTTTCTTAGTTATTGTAACTTATTTCGAACGGCAAGTGAACCCACAAGAAGTACTAGACAATTTAGTGTGTTCCGTAACAAATTTTTCCACACTAGAGCACTCCTGTTTGGTTGCAAAGGATATAAATTCGGTGGACAAAGATTACCAAAAAGAAAATCGACATTTTCAAAATTTCCATAAAAAAAAAACAATACAAAATGACAAAAATCGTTGCTTCTTTTCTCCTCCTTAGCAAAAAAAAAATGCAAAATTGTCCGATGGTTGACACACACTTAGAACCCTCTTGTTATTTTCTTTCATTATCCTTGTTGAAATGAAATAAAAAAAACTTCTTTTCCTGTGTTTTTTTCTGTTGTATTTAGTTTTCTATAATTTCTTCAATTTGTGGGAAGATAAATAAATCCAAATAAATACACGATGTTATAGAATATTGCGAAGAATATGAATAGATGACACTTTTCCTCCCCTTTTTTTTGGTGACAACATGCATGATTTTCTTTCACTCTCAGAATCTCTCTCTCTTCTTCTTCCTCTTCTTCTTCAGTGATTTTGATATCCCAGTAAAACAATGCAATGTGTATGATTAGACATTTCCAACTAGACTTATCGTTGACCCTTGTTTGTCTGACAAGAGATCCTTTAATAGAGTTTGCTGATTAAATCCCTGTTACTCTCTTATGCCAGTGTCGTTCAAAACGCAACTGTCAATCAGTGTTTAATTTTTAAGACGTAGTTTGAAGGTTCCTCATTAGAGCAATTACAGTCTTGCGGATTACTCTCGAATCGATGGGAACTGGGATCAATCCTCCGTGGATGAGCTTGGAGTGTGTAAAGATCAGATCAGCCATAATTCGTGGCTAAACTGGCGCTAAACACACTCTGAAGTTATTCTTCTTTGTCGACACTAGCGACAATTTTGCTTCGTGTTTCGCTCTCAGCTGTTAATTGGATTTGTTTATTTTGTCTGAAAGTGTGAAATCCGCCATTTTATCCGTTTTGAGCTGAGAAATGTTTCGGTGAATTTTCGGCGCATAAACAACGGTTGAACCTTCGATATATTGTCGTGTTTCGGGATTAGTCGTGTTTTCTGGCTCAACCAGCTACACACTCGTTTAGCCTCTCGTGGATCACCAGCAAGTCTGTAATCGCTCTTCATTTTCGCTTCAGAAAATGAGGCAGTTTGTAACCGCGAAAAACATCTTGAAATTGCTAAAGTGACTCAAACTTGAAGATTTTCCGTATTATTTAAATAAAAATCTCAAATAATGGTTTAAAATAACTTTAAAGCAAGAAATAAAAATAGAATATTGAGTGTTTAAGTCTGAAAATGACTTTTGTGATTGCATTTATGCAATTTTATATATTTAACAGTTGCTTTTTGACCCCTCAAAGTGGCGCAAAATAATTTTGTTTAGCTCACAAGAAAATAAAGCAAGAGAATATTATTGTCGAAATAACCTATAAATTCCTTAGATTTTATTTCGTACTGGTTTTTTAATCTGGCCTTTACTTTTTTTTGATTGTAGGGTCCCCAGTGTGGAAACCACGAGACACGGTTAGCTTAGGGGATGCGCAGTCTTCAACACGCAAAGATGAAACGAAATAGACTTTAGCGAAAAAAAGAAAAATGATTACATAAATAACAATTTTAAGAGAGATGTGAGAAAAGGAAGAGAAAAAAAAGAACTTTTTGACCTTTAACAACAAGAAAATAAATATATATATATATATATAATTTTTACTAATGCACATATATTTACAAGGTATTTAAAAGAATGAACATGAGATGAAGGAAAATAGAAGAAGAAGCTCTTCTGACATCACATGATCAACCAAAAAAAGAAAAAGAAGTCACGCAAATGGTTGGAAGTTTGAAAATTCTTGTGTGACAGAAAAAACAGGACAGAAAAGATATATAGTGAAAATTTCTCCCCTCTTCTAAAAAACGATTCAATGTAAGAAATTTTTTCATAGGATTATTTTTGAAATGAAAAGAAAAAATCGTACCAAGAAAAAAACCATTGACGAATCGACGAAGATTGGCTTTTGTGACGAAGTGGTGTGATTTTTTAGTGGAAATTCCCCCGAAGTAAAGTTGTAGATGAAAATTTGTAAAGGAACATTTTATGCATAAAACTCAAAAAAAAGAAACCCGATGAAACCCTAGAGAGTGATTAGAATTGGCTGTAAATGTGATTAAAAATTGATTTCACACGTAAGTTACAGTAACTGGAAATCATGAGAGCAGCAATTTTGCAAGTATTCTTTGTATTTTTCATCCCTCACTCAAAAAAACACCCTTATCTTCCATAACATAATGTAGGAATAATTTTCATAGCTAAAAAAACCAAAAAAAAACTATATTTCTCCTAAAAAGAATCTTAGTGATAAGTTTTGGAGTGCGGCAATTGCTGTACATTATAGCAATTGTTCATGGCAAAAGTTCTCTATTGATGTCTTTTTCTACACTGAGTTCTCAAAAACTAGATCAACAGATCTCTTTTTTATTTGAAAAAATACACCAAAAAACAACATAGTTTCTCTTCTCACCCTGCGAGGAGAATTTTTTATACAATTTATCAGATAAATGATGAAATAGTGACTATAAATTGATAAAAGATTAACTTAATCTTTTGAGCTCAAAAATATACAATCAATAATTTCTAATACCTAGAATTTCAACGTTAATAAAAAGAAAAACTAATAAACATTCTATCATTTTTATCATTTGCAAAACTGTGAAAAGTTTTAGTCAAATTTACTAAAAAAAAAACAAACAAACATATTTGTAGGAACATAATTTTTCTATATTCATAGATTTTTTACATTGAGAAAGCAAAAATATTTTATCTTAAGAAAAAATATCTTTCTCAATGCATTAGTTTTTAATCATTTTCAAACTTAAGTGAGAAAAAAAACTTATAAGAAAAAAAACACAGCAACGTAAAATTTTAATCAATCTCCACTGTAGTCTTAATTACTTAAAAAAAACTATATATAAAACATAAGAAAAGGATATGTTTATTAATAGTGGAAAACACATTTTAAAAATACATTAAAAGCAAACAAATATTTGGCAGAATTTACTTGAGAGAAAAAAAGAGAGAAAACTAACGAAAAGAAGTGTCATCATAAGGAAAAGAATGGGAAAGAATGGAAAAAATACATGAATTTCTAGATAATGTCATTTAAAAGTGGCGCGGAGAACTTTAAAAAGATGGAGAAAACATAAAACTTTGAAGAGTATATCGAATGAAATATATAGGTAAAAATTATTAAAATATATAACTTTTAAAAATGTTAAAATAACTGAAGAAAAAATAATGAAGATGAAAACACTCACATTATTATATAGGCACAATAGTAATTATTACCATAATGCTATTAAAATATACAAAAAAAAATGGAAAACATAAATGTATTGAAGACGAGTAAAAGTCACACGATCCTTATTTCTCCTCCTCCCCCGAAAGTGAAACTTATGTGAATGTTGCAATATTAAATATTAATTAAAGTATAAGAATAAGAAATGGAGAAAAAAAGAACACATTTTTTTCCACAACATTTTTCTCGAGAAGCTTCTTAACATCTTTTTCCCCTTCATTTTTAAACCACTGTGAGTTGAAGTTTTCACCCCTTTTCCTCATCAAACAGAGCGAAATAAAAAAAATCGAAGCCTCCAGAAAGAAAAAACCGATAAAAATGTCATTTAAAAAGAAATAAAGAAGAAAAACTTATATAAGAGCAAAGTAAAGTCTTTATATTTAAAGAGAAAAAGAAAAGAATTTACAAGAAAAAAAATTATATTTAATAAAGAAGAATGAAATTGTTTTTAAGATAATGAAAACACATGAAAACCTTACATTTATATTTATTAAAACAATAAAAAAGGTATATAAATTGTATTTAAAAAGAAAAAAGAAGGAAAAAATGGAGTTTATTGAATATTCTAGAGAATTTATTCTATCAATAATCAATATCACAATATTTTTCATCTTCCTCTGTTCATTAAACAAATTATTAAAGATTGTAAAATGACATGAGAAATAATGGAAAGGAGAAAAGAAACTATTTACAATTCATAGTTGCAAAAGAGTCTATAAAACACACTTTTTCACACACCAAAAAAAAATAAACTCTTCCTCAGACTTTCCAAACGTGTTTTTTTAGCAAAAAAACTCCAGATAAACACCTTTCCATCTGATGCACTCTTCCATAAATAAATCAGATGAAAAATCTTCCATTGCAGTATAAAATAATTTTTATTTAGTACATTTTTTGTCAAAGAAAATAATTAGAAGAAAATTGAGAAAATTCTATTGGAATTATATCGTTATCGAGAAGAAGTAAAAACAATTTAGAGCGAAGAAGAAAAATGACGAAGACGATTGATATTTACTGAATGATGTGTAACTGAAGATTAATTGTGAAGGATAGAAAAAAAAACACTGATTTAACAGACACACAACACACACACATTGTGGATGAATGTTATAAGAAATGATGAAAAAGATATTCGTAATATAGGAAATAAAAGGAGAATATTTATAAGCACAATAAATAATTCTGAAGTGATTTTATTTCAATTATCTTGTCAATATTATTTGAATGCGCGGCGGTTTGGATTTGGCTGGATTGATTTGACTTGAAGCTGCGTGCAGCATATGCTGCCTGGCAATCACATCAAGTCTCAAGATGATCAAAAATCAAGTAAAAATCAATTTAATGCGATAGAAAAATATATTTTCCATATTTTCAGTTCATTCATTGAGATTATTTAGTCATACATTTGTGTGAAATACAAGTCTTTATGTTTTATTACATTATTTATGATACATTTATATCAATTTATCCTATAATTTTATCATTTTTCTCATAGAAAATGATTGTCTAAATTGGTTTTCTGACTTTTTACAATTTTATTTTAACCCTAAATCATAATTTATGATATCTTATATCAAAATCCTACCTAATTATCACTCAAGAACCGTGTCCAAATTCATTGGCGGACTAGCAAATGACGATGTGGCGAAGGGACTGTTGAAGGGCGTGTTCAGAGGCGACGTGAAAGGACTGACAAACTTGCGTTTGTCACTGAAGAAGCTGGAATCCTTGGAGAAATACTTCCTCTCGATCACTTTGTCGAAGAATCTGCTCAACTTCACCGCGTCCGTCGTTCCGGCGGCCAGAGATCTCGTGTCGTGGCAATTCAGGCAAATCTCATCAGCGCCGCACTGCTCAGCGATGCTCCCATTCATTGAGTATCTCTGCAAGTGCTTCGAGATTTGCGTCTCGTCGACATGATCGAGTTTTGTGCCAAACACTAGAATAGGAATCTGGAAAATGGGCGAATTTAGAGACATCTTCGCCTGTCTCCTGAGCCAAACACTCAATTTGCAATCTCAACTCACGTGTGTCGCGCCTAGAAATTGCTCGGGATCAAAGTCAGTGTCATTTCCGCCCTTGCCGATGTCCTTGCCGTCCTTGTTGATGATCTCCATGAGCCATTGCTTCAGGTTTTCGTGACTCTTGCGATTTGTGAGGTCGTGCACGAGAATCACGCCGTGAGTGGGCGTGTAGAACACCCCCCGAGTGTTCTTGTGACTCACAGAGCCGCCAATGTCCCAGAGTTCCACGAAGAAAGTCTTCTGCTGCGCAGTTCCCTCCTTATATTCGTGCAGCTTCACCTCCACCGAGCAGCCGACAGTCCATCCGGGCGACGTCAGTGGCTCGCTGTGGGCGATGAGGTGGGTCAGGGAGGTTTTCCCAACGCCTGCAAGTGGGGAGGAAGGAAGGAAAAAAAAACAGTGAATCTCCCGCGAGTCATTGAACTCCGGCTCGGGACGGTCGGGATTTCCCGACCGTTGGGGTTGCCCAATAGATTCAAAATCCAAATTTCGCGACACCCTCGCATCGGGCAAGCCCAAGGTTGGACGTCTGTCAAAAGCGAGCCGTGCTTTTCCATCGCGGTGGACTTTTCTGTACAAATTACTCAATAAAGACTGCCCAAGAGTACTCAAAAGTGGTTTATCTCGCACACGGGGGGCACTCACCGGAGTCCCCAACTAAAATAACACGCACTTTGTCGATGGCGGCCATAAAAATCGTGAGTTTCTGTCTTGTGCTCCGTGGCTACATTGAGAAGCAATTCCCACTGAACTAAAAGAGAGAAGCACCAATCGTGAGTTCGGCCAAAGTCGCTCTCTCGCTCTCTCGTCGCCGACCCGAGAGACTCGCTCGGGTGCCGAAGTGCTGCGTTCGTGTCGGGGAGCTTTCGTTCGCGGCGATTGGCAGCAGTGATTTTTGAATTCGGCGCGCGCGCGCGCGTGGTTTCTACCAAGAATTCTCATTAATATAGTTTAAGAAAAGTAAGAGAGGCTCACAATGTCTGACCAACAGCTGGTCACGGAGATTCCCAGCAGTCTGAAGCAACTCGCGCGACTCGTCGTGCGTGGATTCTACACAATAGAAGACTCCCTCCTCGTGGACATGCTCGTGAGGAATCCTTGTAAGACCGCCAAAAATGTCTCCTTTCCCGCCCGGAACTCACAATTTCCCTCTCGTATTTGCAGGCATGAAGGAGGACGACCTCTGTGAACTGCTCAAGTTCGAGAGGAAGCAACTGAGATCACGAATAGCCATTCTGAAGAACGACAAATTCCTCCAGGTGCGCCTGAAGATGGAAACCGGGCCGGATGGGAAGGCGCAGAAGGTGAATTACTACTTCATTAACTACAAAACATTCGTGAATGTGGTGAAGTACAAGCTGGACCTCATGCGGAAGCGGATGGAGACTGAGGAGCGCGACGCGACGAGTCGCGCCAGCTTCCGCTGTCCGAATTGCAACAAGACCTTCACGGATTTGGAGGCTGACCAGCTCTTTGACTTCCACACGGGTGAGTTTCGGTGCACATTTTGCGGCAATGCCGTGGAGGAGGATCTGTCGGCGCTGCCCAAGAAGGACTCTCGCCTGCTGCTGGCCAAGTTCAATGAGCAGCTGCAGCCTCTCTACGATCTCCTGCGCGACGTGGAGAGCATCAAGCTGGCGCCGGAGTGCCTGGAGCCGGAGCCCGTGGACATTGACACGATACGAGGGTGAGTTTCGTGGGAAATCGCCCCTCTTGGCGTTCCTCAGTGATAACATTCGCTCCTCTTGTCTCGCAGGATCATCAAGCCAGGACGCGTGGTCAGCCAGGAGACGTGGTCGGGCGAGGCGACGCGATCGCAGGGCTTCGCAGTCGAGGAGGCGCGCGTGAACGTGACGATTGGCGCAGACACGACGGATTCGGAGGCGCGGCGCAAAGATCGGCCAGTCTGGATGACGGAGAGCACAGTGCTGGACGACGCGCGCAGCTCGCCGGACACTCTGCCAGAGCGTCCCGGCGTGCCGGTGGCCACGGCGGGACGCGCACGGAAAGAGGGCGACGACATCATGTCCGTTCTGCTGGCGAACGAGCGGCAGCACGGCCAAAACAGCACCGCCAACGCCGTGCGCGGTCTTGGCGCCGGCGCCAGTTCCAGCGGCGACTCGAGTGACGAGGACGCCGCCATGGACAACACGGAAATCCGTAAGTTCCTCCGCATTCCCGGCCGACGCGCGCTAATCTCTCTGTATTTCTTCTGCCTTGAATAGCGATGATGATGGCGGCGGAATCGGAGTCAGAGGACGAGAGCCCGACGGTGAGCGTGGGCGGCAGGCAGTATCCCATCGACCAGATCACGGACGACCTGATTGCACAAATGACGCCACAGGAGAAGGACTCGTACATCCAAGTGTACCAAGAGACCTTCAGCCACATATACGAGTGAAGCGAGAGTCCGTGTATTGTAAATTAAAGGCACTTCTCAATGACTTTAAAACTCTTTGAAGATTACTTTGAGGATTTCTAGTCTTTGGCACTTAAACCAAGTTAAACTGTAACCCAGGAGTCGGTCAAAACAACAGCGATAACAGATCAAGTAAGTATTTTAACGGTAAGCAATGAATTTTCATATTCAACACTTTGAATTCTGATGACTTTCAATCATGATGAAATTATATTCTTTTTTTATAATTCGACGGAGCGAATGAAAACTATGAAAAGCTTGTGAAAAGTAAAAAAACGGCAACTTTTCAGGAGAACGAGTTGAAAATTGAATGATAAAATCGACATTTCAGCGATATTTGCTGAATTTTAACTCAAACACTCGTTTATCGTTCACTAAAGTGTTAATATTGCTCTGTAATAATTATTTTGTAAATGTTCTAGTTGATTTTATTGGTATTAACTTGAATTTTGATTGAAATATTGCAAAGTTTCAAGATAAACTGAAAATATTAGTGCCCAAAAGTCGATTTTAAATAGGTTTTGAGTGCATTTTAGTCAAGAGCGTTGTAGGAAATCAAAATTTCCTTGAATTTTTCATCATTTTCATTGATTTTTTCACAGTTTCAAAGCAGAAATATGTTCTTCTCATTTAAAGTGATCTACATTTGAGGAAAATCGTGGCGTTCCATAATCGCATGCGAAGAGGAACAAATAAAAGACATTCGCACTGTATTCATAATGTATAATGTATTATAAATTAAATACACTTTTAAACAATGTTAATTCCTTCTCTCTCTTAAATTTCTCCTCCTCCTCCTCTTCAGCACCCCTCCTTCGGCCATTTGACGGTTTTTCGTCGCCCTCCAGTGGCCATTTTCTTCGATTTCCGTGCCATTTTCACGTGTCTCTTATTGTTTTTTTTCGGCATCTCTTCTCTCGTGCGTGTTTTCTTCATCGGCGTTGTTGTTGTTGGTCTTCTTTCCGGGCAGGTCACTTGTGGCCCCAAAAAACACACTCAATTGGCTTCGCGGCCGCGGTGCTGAGAAATCGGCTTAACAAAATTCCCTCCTTACAATATTTTCTTTTTTTTCTCTCATTTTTTTCAACACATTTTTTCACTGCATAATTTTCCGGACAGAAAATATATTTTATAAGTAGTATTTTTTTTCTTTTAAACTTAAAAAAGATTTTTTTTTGCCTTTTACAAAACAGAAATTGGCACTTTACAAAAAAAAGAAAAAGAAAAAGTAGTTTTTTTTAATGGTTTTGTTTTATGTCCATTGCTTTTGTGTCTCTTGTGCATGTTTTTTTTTCTTCTTCCTCTCTTCATACAATCTCCTTAAAGATCCTCGTTGTCATCCTCCGTGTTTTACATTTCATTTCTCGTCATTTAAATAAATAAAAATAGTTAAGAATAAGAGATTTTTTTAATTCCGCAGTTTTTCTTTTTTGTTACGTTCTGATGGTTTTAGAAGTCATTTTCTGGAGCAAGGTCGAATCTAGGTGGGAAAGCCAGTCCGTCGAAAGGTCGTGCTGATGCTCGGGGCTGAAAGGATCGCCAGGAAGAGAGGATAAATTAGTCAATCTGTCATCAATTTCTGCACACAAATTACTAAGAAAACAGTCTTCCAACTATTGGCTCAGCGCCTGTTTTTTTCATCCTCCAACGAGAGAATGACAACAAAAGGGGATTTGGACTCATGCAAAGAACACAGTCAGCAGCAAATCGGTTCTACCTTTATCCTTTTAGACCTTTCAGACGCTCTCGGCGTCCAGCAAAAATCATTTCCCGCCAAAAATGCCCCTTTTTCCCGGCGAAAAACGCCCAAAAATCTCCGATTCTCCAGAATTTTCAGTTTCTTAGATGAAAGATTGAATCACGCGCGTGTAAATTTCGTCCTTTTCCACTAAAGTGAGCGTCAAATGTGTTAAAAGCTGTGGTAAATCAAGCAAAGGGAGTGAAAAAAGGAAACCCAGTACATTTTTGAATTCAAATTTCACGGAGAATTTCACGAGAAAGTCCGAATCTTTCATCTAGAAATCAAAAAATCACTCCCAATAAAGTCTGACGCGGAAAGGATTTGGATTGAAGCTGACTCAAATTGCATTCTACATAATAAATATGTTTTAATTCTGTTGCTAATGTGCAAATGTTGGCACTGCGGAGACAGTTATCAATGAGACGTGTTTTTGGGCACGTTCTTCGGTGCCGATCAGCGAACAAAAGAGTTCGTCATACAGAAAATATACATGAGAGATGCTTTCAGGGAAAAGATACACGTGAGAATATATATATTTGTCTGCTGCCAGAGTGATTGGTGAAGAATGTACAGAGAGAAATCAACAAAATCAACAAGACTGTGTTGCCAACGTAAACTTACAAATTCATTGTCTCTCAACAATTTTTTGCGAATATTTTTTATTGCTCCAGCAAGTGGGCACGACCCTTAGTTGACGGCTGCACGGGTCAAGAGATATAGAGAGCATTAATGGCAGAGCCCCTGAATGTGCGAAATGAATGATCGAAGCACCGGATGATTATCAAATTGCTATTCTTTCCCTTCTCCCCTTTCGGGAAGTGATTCGGCATGAGGAATACTCACCGCGGGGCTTGCTCCTCGGCCAACAGATCCGGCACGTCCACCTTTCGTACGGAATTTGTTGATGGCCTGCTCGGCGAGGTCGGCGCGCTCCTCCGCCTCCTCGAGTTCCTGCTGTGCTTTGCGGAATTTGGCCAAGTTGAGCGCGGCAATCTCTTCGGCCTCCTCAATCTGCCTCTTGTACGTCTTGATCTTCTGCTGCAGCTTGTCAACCAGATCCTGCATGCGCTCGTGGTTCTTGCGGTCCTCCTCAGACTGGAACGTCAGCTCCTTGATGCGACGCTCGCTCTTGCGGAGGTTCTTCTGGGCATCGGCATGTCGCCTCTGCTCACCATCCAGCTCATTCTCCAGCTCGCGCACGCGCTGCTCCAACTTCTGAATGGCCTTCTTGCCACCCTTCAGTGCGTTCGCCTCGGCCTCGTCCAGGCGCACCTGCAGCTCCTTGATCTGCGTCTCCAGCGCCTTTCGCAGCTTCTCCTGCGTCTGGGCATGGTCCTGCTCAGCGCGCAGCTCATCAGCCAGACGGGCGGCGTCAACCATTGCCTTCTTGGCCTTCTCCTCGCTGTTCTTGGCCTCGTTCAGCAGCTCATCGAGATCAGAGTGCAGCGTCTGCAGCTCAGACTCGAGTTTCCTCTTGGCAGCCGACACGGAGGCATTCTGGGCGGACAGCTCATTGAGCTGCTCGTGGGCATCGCCCAACTCCTGCTCAGCCTGGCGACGGCCACGGTCGGCCTGTTCCAGGAGCGTGCGCGACTCCTCAAGTTCGTTCTGCAGGGCATTGGCGCGGCGCTCAGAGATGCCCAACTGTTCGCGGGCATCGTCGCGGGCGCGCTGCTCCTCCTCCAGGGCGGTCTGGACATCCTTAAGCTGTTGCTGGTATCTCTTGATGTTCTTCTGGGCTTCAGCGTTGGCCTGCAAACACAATCACAGAGAGAGTAAGATCAGCTCAGCCTGCGAAGGGCTTCACGAGGGATAAACTCACCTTGTTAGCATGGTCCAGAGCAATTTCCAGTTCGTTGATGTCAGCCTCCAGCTTCTTCTTCATGCGGAGCGCCTCAGCCTTGCCCTTGGCCTCAGCCTCGAGGGAAGCCTGCATGGAGTCGAGAGCGCGCTGGTGGTTCTTGCGGGTGTTCTCGAATTCCTCCTCCTTCTCCTGGATGCGGCGGTCGATCTCCTGGCGCACCTGGGACAGCTCCAGCTGAGCCCTGAGCACCTTGTTCTCCTCCTGCTCAAGGGCGGCCTCAGCCTCCTCAAGGGCAGCCTGGAGCTCGTCCTTCTCAGCCTCGAGACGCTTGCGTGCCTTCTCGATCTCGTGGATGTTGCGTCCACCCTCACCGATCTGGTCCAGCAGATCCTTGACCTCATCGGCGAGATTCTTGTTCTCACGGCGCACAGCCTCGAGCTGCTCCTGGCCCTCCTCGTAGGCACCCTTGAGACGGAACAGTTCGGTGGAGTAGTTGCGGCACTCCTTCTGGGAAGCGTCCAACTCAGCGGCCAGATCGTCAACCTTCAGCTTCCATTCGCCAATGATCTTGTCGAAGGCCTTCTGCTTCTTCTCAGCAGCGCTGGCGATCGCGTTGGCACGGTCGACCTCGAGCTGCAGATCCTCAACCTCGGTGGCGAGGCGCTGCTTGGTCTTCTCCAGAGCCACGACCTTCTGGTTCAGGGACTCGATGGTCTCCTCAGCCTCAGCCAGGCGGGCCTGCAGCTTCCTCTTGGCCTCCTCGAGCTCCTCAGAGCGAGCCACGCCATCGGACTCGTACTTGGAGCGCCACAGCTGGGATTCGGCGTTGGCCTTGCTGAGCTGGCGCTGCAGATCGGCCTTGCCCTCGGCCTCCTCCTCCACCTGCTCGCGCAGATTGTCCAGATCGTGCTCCAGGTTGCGGAACTTGCCCAGCAGCGTGGCACGCTCGCGGCTCTCCTCGTCGGCGAGACGCTTCGTGTCCTCGAGCTGCGTGGTCAGGGAGATCTTGATCTTGGACAGCTGCGACACCTGAGATTCGGCCTCCTCCAGCTGACGGAGCAGGTCAGAGTTCTCAATGGACAGCTTCTTCTTGGCGGCATCGAAGTCATTCAGAGTGCGGTTGGTCTCGTCCAGCTTGCCCTGCACCTCATTGAGAGTGTGCTGCAACTGCTTGGCGATCTTCTCTTGGGCGGCCTATACCACAAAGAAGCCATTTTAGCAAAAGAAATCCTCCCACACTGATGATGGGTTTGAGTTTGGCGAAAGTATAGCGAGAGATGAGTTTGTCAGTGAATTCGCAACCACGCTTTATTCTCTTCACAACTTCTTGAGGAAGAAATTCAAAATCATTTCAAGACTAATTATATATTTCCCGGTTGCAAATTCACTGAGAAAACTCATGTGAATATCAAAAATGTGTCACACGCAGTGTTTAATATTAGCATAAGCACTAAAATTCACTATTTGGCTAACCAATTAGCAAAAGAGTGCTTTCCCATTTGGGTGACTTTTCACAACATGTGGAATGCAACAATGTTAATAAAGCCTAGAAAATTATGCATTAGATGACTTGTCTTTGGCATCGAGTCATGAAGCCACTTCTCAACGAACTCAGTGAGTGTGTGTCCTCAATGTCAGACCCTCTAATTGCACATCACTGGCCCATCCTTGCAGCGAATGCAACAATGAATTTTAATTAGTGTGACAATGAGAATTTGCCATTTAGCCATTTCCTCGTTCGGTGGAATTATTATGAGTTCACGAGGGCAGATTTTCCTGTCTGTTTCACAAAAGTTTGCATATTATGTTCTATTCGTGTTTCTTCTTTGGTAGTTTTTTAAGGCAGCACAGCGCAAAAGATGTTTTTCTTTGCCAATCAGCAGAGTCTTTTTTTTTCTAACAATGTTATACCTTCTCATTGGACAAATGATCAACACTGTGTCTGAGTTCGTTCACTTCACTGAAGTACTGAGCCTTCTCCTTCTCAGCCCTGTCAGGATCAAATGAAACAGAAGAAAGAGAGAAAAAAAACACAAGGAACGTGTTGGATTAAGTGTGATCAGTGATAAATGTAATTAAAAAACAACAAGAAAAGAACTTAAGGATAAATGAGCAAACAACACGTGGATGGTAAGGCACGAGGATCAAGTGTGGATCCCTTTTTTTATCTTTTCACTTTGTGGGCGATTAATAACATTTCTCTGTGTTCTCATGCTCCACATTCATGTGGCGAGATATTCTGTCCATTCTTCCTTCGTCTTCCAGTGTTTCTCTCTCGCCTGTGTGTGTTTTTCTTTCTATTCAGACACAACCAGGATGTGGATAATTGCTCGGGGATCTTTACCTTATCGCGAGCGAGTTGATCGCAAGCGCTTCGCGTATTGTTCAGTTCATTGTGCATATTATTCCTGTCGTGCTCAGCCCTAAAGTCGAGTCAAATCATTAATCGCCGCTCTTCCTCGCATCCATTGGATGTTCTTTTTTCATTGTGGAAAATGCTTTGCCACCACACATTTTATGCTTAAACGCCAATGACGCGGTGTTTCCACCACCGCCATTGGCATTGAATGATGATTTTTGAGATGATCCTTCGTCCAATTTAAATTAATTAATGCAAAGGAATCAACCCCCAAAGACATCTCAGACTGTCGAGGAACTTTGGGGATTGATTTTAGAGAGAATTTGAAGTGGAATTTGTACTCACTTGGCCTTGAGTTTGTTCAGTTGGTCAACCTGTTCAGCCATCTCAGCCACGGCATCGTTGTGCTTCTTGCGCAGATTGGCAAGGGTGCTCTCGTGCTGAATGTTGGCCTCCTCCAGATCGCGTCTCAGCTTAGCCAGCTCGGCCTCGCGCTTCTTGTTGAGCTCAATCTGGGCAGACGTGGCACCGCCAGCCTCCTCCAGACGCTCGCCCAACTCCTCAAGCTCGCGGGCCAGATCGGCGCGCTGCTTCTCAGCCTTGGCGCGAGCCTGACGCTCGGCCTCGACCTCCTCCTCGAGCTCCTCGATGCGGGACTGCAGCTCCTTGATCTGCTTCTGCAGCTTGTTCACCACAGACTGCTCGTCCTCCAACTTGGCGGTGAGGGAAGAGATCTCCTTGTCCTTGCGCTGGATGGTCTGCTCGAGTTCCTTCTTGTTGCGCTCCAGATCGGCCACAGCCTCCTGGGTGAGCTTCAAGTCGCCCTCAACCTTCCTCTTGCTCTTCTCCACATCGCCGCGCACCTTCTTCTCGCGCTCCAGCGAATCCTCGAGCTCATCGAGGGTCTGCTCCAGCTTGGCCTTCACCTTGTTGAGATGGTTGATCTTGTCCTCAGCAGCCTGGAGCTCCTCAGCAGTCTTCTGGTTGGTCTCGCCCTGCATCTTCTTCTCCTTGTTCAACTTGTTGATGAGCTCATCCTGGTGGGCGATCTCGTCGTTCAAGTTGCGGATCTGGTGATCCTTGGTGGCCTTGTCCTGATCACCCTTCTGGATGTTCAGCTCCATATCCTCAATGTCCTTCTTCAGCCCGGACAGCTCCTGCTCCAACTTCTTCTTGCCCTGGAACAGTTGATTGCGGGCATCCTCTTCTTGCGACAGGCGCTCTTGTGTGTCCTATATTTAGAAGGCACGCAATGTTTGAAATATTCCCCGGATGATTCATTGCTCATCTCTCTCTCTGAGATTTTTTTCCCTCCTCAAAGCCACACACTCACGCAGAGGTGGAAATAAATATTTTCATCATTTCTCACTTTTCGCGTGAGCAATAAATAAATCACCGCGAGCCCAGTGGGTGGGGGCGTTGTGAGGAAAAAATCTCTCTCCTTCCATCGCTCGCTACTTACGCGCAATTGGTTGTCCAAGTCGTTCTTCTGGGCCGTGAGCTTGGCGCACTTCTCCTGGAATTCGGAGAGTTGTCCCTTCTCGCCGGACAGAGAGTCCAGAAGGGCGGTCTTCTCGGCCAACAGCTTGGAGTTGAGCGTCTCCAGCTCCTTCCTCAGCTTCTCCTCCTTGGCAAATGCTTCCTCAGCTTTCTTGGCCTTCTCCTCAAGTTTCTGCAATGTATCATTCGACGCATCGTCAGTTGTGGAATGACTAACTTCTAATTCCGTCTCGGCCATTTCTCAATTTTTCTCTTCTTCCTCTTCTCCTCTTCCTATTTCGCACACTGATCGCCTTTCACTTGTGGGGATAATGACAATATATCCCTTAAGCAAATTATCACGCAAAAGATTTATTCGCAAATACCCTCTCGATTGGATGAGAGAATAAAATCGATTAGATATCACTTCACACACACCCTTCAATATATTTCGTTTCAAGGGGTTTTTCTTCCTTATTTCCCTTGTCTTCTCGCAAAAAAAAACTCTCTTATACAGATCAAGTTCAGTCGGTCTCCTCACTTCGAACGGATATGATATTCTCGGTATGGTTGATGATGAAGTAGAGAGTGTGATGTATCGTGGTTAAGTGGTAGGGTTGATTACACGATGACTATATTATTAGTTTCGTTTGGACCAACGTAAAGCCCAGGTACAGGTCCGCGCGGCAAGTTACCGTTTACTGGAGTGGATTTTAATTGCTATCAAACGCACCACCTCTCTCGCTCGCTGGACGCCTACGTTGCGGGCTAATCTTGGAAGGCATATTAGGCAGTGGGCACCCAAAATAGCCCAAATGGCTCCGCCCAGACCCCATCGCGCTGGCTCTCTTTCTGTCTTCCCCTCCGTGACAAAACTCCAGGGGCGAGACGGAGCACAGGCGCAGTGCAGGCACGGGAAAAGGTGTCAGTACCTCCCAAATGAGTGGGCCTTCGGTGGGGCATCCTGTGTGCCCGAAATAGCCCAGCAGAGGTGTGGTGATCACCACACTTGATTGAGCAGCACCCGTTCGATCCCCGCGCTAATTTATGCAAATACCAATCACTCTCTCTCTCGCGGATGCCCACAAGCTAATTCACCCCCGCGTGCGCACTGTGATCGTTGGAGAAGTGATCAATTTGCACAGACTAAAAATAGCGCACTTTTCCTACTCGCGAGGAGAGGTAAAAATAAAAAATCACACGTCAATAACATTTCATCATTGGACGAATTTGGAACTTCTCAACACAAGCGCATCTAAATCATCAACATTTTGGATAGAGCGAAGCAGATGTTTCATCATAATTTGCCCATTTTTTATTCCCCCCCCGCCCTCGATGACATTTTCCAGAGCGTGTGCGTAATTTTCATCTCTCTCTCTTTCCCTAAAAATATCATTTTTCACACCATCAAGTTGTGATTGTGTGTGACTTCCCAAGGCAATTTTGTATGAATTTCCTTTGCACAATAATTTGGGTTATTATTAATAATCATCATTTTCTGTCGCACGCGCCCTTTTCAAAACTTGCGCGCCACGCGAGGAATGCGCGATTAATTGGAAATATATACACACAACATCTCATCCAATAAGTGTGCATTTGCGAAAAATTGAAAATAGGCCTCTCTCTCCACCCCGTCTCGGAGACGCCAACTCACCGCAATTTCATCTTCAATGCGCGTAACATTGAGAAGAGGCTTGACTTTCTGCCAGAGCTTGTACCATGGCCATGTGCGCAGCTGCAAGTACTTGCGCAAGTTGCGCTGCACGACTTGCAGGGCCAGACGCTGCTCCTGCAGCTTCTGGAACTCCTTGCGCGACAGATAACCACGGATCCAGGACTGCAGCCAGGTCATGATCTTGCTGAGGCGCTCATCACGCAACTCCTCCATCTGACCCAGGACACCAGCACGGAAGAACACCTGCACGCGTGATTGGAGTGTCGCGGAGAGAGAAAAGATAACATGTTAGTCGTTGGCATGAACATTCAGCCTCCTGTGAAGCGCACAACTCATAACAAGAGGCAGTGAAGGAGAAAAGAGCATAAATTACACAGGCTAGAATAAATATTTTCCTACATTCGGCCATGCAAGTGATATTTTCCACTTGGGAATGTGCCACACTGAGGCCCAAAAGTGTCCCTTTTTCATGCTCATGAATATGAAGAATATTTAAAAGTTTGATAGCAGCTTAGATAGTCGATAAAATACTTGTGAGAAAACACTTTTTTTCTTGGAAGAAGAAATGTGATTTTTGAAAAACATTTTTCAATCAATTCGACACTTTTGCAACTCAGTGTTGGTGAGACGAGAAAAAACATTTTTCCTTGCGAAACATCAAGCAGAGACAAGCCAAAATGTTACATATTTCTCGAAAATGTTAGAAGGTAGAATGTGTTAAGAATAGACGATGATTTTATGCGGCCAAACACACTGACACGCAGCATTCCAAATTGTCCACCTGACAACATCACACAAGATTTCTCTTCACCAGTGGTTAATATTAAAGTTTTTGGTATGTGAATAAAATGTTAGATCCAACATGATAAATCGAATTTAATAGAAGAAAGTCAGACCGCAATACCTTGGTCTTTCCAAGACGGAATTGATCCTCAGCCAATTGCACATGGTTCAAAATAATTTCAGATGCCTTTTCAGGTTTGATCGGTTCTTTGATTAATGATATGCACAGAATTTTGTATCTGTGTTATATATCGGGAAGAAATGAGAGGGTTAGAGATAATTAATTGATCATAGAATAAAATAATTCGTCTCAATTATTATTTGAATAAAAAAAATCATAGAGAATTAAGTGGATAGAGTCTTAAACTACTCAATCTAGAGTACTTTGGATTGAGATTCTTAATGCTATGTTTGCTTTGTCAATGAAAGAATATATAAAAAAAAGAACACACTTGAGACAGTCCTTTGTCTACTGACTCTTCTCAAGGATGTGCTCATTAAAAAATAAACACAGGAAAGGTAGAAGTAATAAAAAAAACTCGGACGGAACAGTAAAAACGTCACATTTTGATGCAAAAAGAAAGGCAAGGAGGAAAATTTTTTGAAAGAATTTGGAAATAAAGAAAAACAGAAGTGCCTGTCAATGAGCTCCAGTCAAAAAAAGGACTTAGAAACAGGCCCTCAAATCCCATCAATTGTCTCTTCCGATTGGGTTCATTCCAATTGTCTTCTTCTTCTTCGGCCAGCAGAAGAAGAAATGAATTCGAAAAAAAAGAGTAAAGAGTAGCGCCATCGAAAGAGCATTTTCAATGAAACAGGAACGAGAAGATAGAGTGAAAAAAGGATATCATGCCTTCGTATTTCCCAATCGGTAAAGATCAGGATCAAAACCAGTGTTGTCCAAAATGGCAGCGGCGGCCTTTTTAATATCTGGCGTGCTTTCAACTCCTTTCGGGTTAATGATTTTGTATCTGAACGGAAGGGGAAGGATCAACTTCATTAAACATAATCAATGATCATAGTTCTTGTATGGTTTCTCTTCTTTGTGGTTCTGGTTGAGGGTGGAAAAAAAAATTCAACTATACTGGAATATTTGTGCTCTTAAATTACATGATGAACATAATATACAGGAGAAATGACCTCAATGTTTGTTGTTTTTTCATGCTAAATGACAGGGTTGGAATACTCATACTCCTCATAATATGTTTTCAAGACGAAAGGGTGGGTGGATGTAAACATGTTGTCATACGAAATTCAGGAAGATACAACCAATTATCTACACGTGCTTGGTTCTCTCTGTCTCACAATGTTTCTCAACAAAAAGGTAAAATAAATAAACGAGAATGAAGAAAATGTTTGGATTTTGGGTACAAAAAAAGGGTAAGAAAGAAAGATATAAAAAACAATTTAATCTGGGGGGGTTTTATAATTCACCCTTGTGTGACCAATTCGATAGCTTTCTGGATCCAATTGAATTGATTCCAGACATTTAGCAGCTGCAGTCTTTGGATCTTTTTCAGCGGTCATAATGGCCGGGGCCAAGATCATATAACTGAATAGTGATAAAAATATTGTTTATCAATGTGTTCATGTCCAAACATATGTATTAAGTTGATGTTTCATGAAATTTCTAAACTAACTTTCTGAATCTGACTAGGATCAATTGAAAAAGTTCATTGAATTAAAAAATGGCAATTTTGAAGTCATTATAAGATCGAGTCTAAGTAGAAAATCAAGATCAATAAAAAAAATATTTAAAAACTATCCAAAACACATTAGAGAATTAAAAAAAAATTTCAATTATTTTAAAATATTTCTAATATTGAATGAAAAATTTGTCGCTAATATTCAATATCACAGATTCCTAGACTGTTTTCAATCCTAGCCAATCTACTTCTGACTCCACTAGCTGTGGTGCTAAAGACCTATCCAAATGAGACTTCTTTATATGCAATAGAGGAAGGAATGTGCAGACTCACCGGAGCTTGAAGTCAGGGTACACCATCCTGTTGGGGAAACCTTTACGGCAGATACGGATACCTTCAAGCACACCGTTACAGGTGAGCTGATGCATCACCAAGTGGGAGTCAATGACACCAGGCTGCTTCATCTCGTTGGGAATGATGCAACGGACGAAGTGAGGCTGGGTGGAGCGCAGAGTGGTCATCAGGTTGTTCAGCTGCTCCTTGTAGGAGGAGGACACAGTGGCGAAGCCACCGCCCTTCTTGCCACGACCGCCCTTGGCCTGTTCACCGCCACCAGACTGTCCAGGATGGTCGGCGAAGATCTCAATCAGCAGCTTGTTGGAGGACTTCTTCAGCTGATCGACGACAGTGTCGTTAAGGGGATCCTTGTTCTTCTCAAGCCAGCCAGTGATGTTGTATGGCACGCAGCCGGCGTAATGGCCAATGGCGAAGTGGGCGGCCTGGCAGCCGGGCTTTGGTGGCTTGGGCTTCTGGAATGGAGCAGACTTGCCCAAGTGGTTGTTGTTCAGCTTCTCAGCGAAGGTCTGATCGGTGGCCTTGGGGAACATAGATTCTTCCTCAAGAATGGACAAGATACCCATAGGCTATTCACCGAACGGGGGAGAGAAAGAGAAAAGAATCCGACATTACTTCGCCATTCAACTCTTCCATGCGCAGAACAAATGATGACTTTCACAGCTATGATTTCTACAATTATATCAATGAAATACAGGAAAATGCTCCTTACCTCATCTTCTTATACTTTGGTTAGGCGTTGAAAGCTTTCTACTGAGTTATAATGTCATTGTTTTCTTCTGATATCTCGAGATTGTACTAGAATTAGTGGCAAATCACACGACAAACATCGTTAGAGATTTACAGGTAAAGACCCTGAATCAAGAGGGCTACCTTTTCAATCAGTTCAATACATTGTTGCAGATCCATTCCGAAATCAATGAAGGTCCACTCAATGCCTTCACGCTGATACTCCTCTTGCTCAAGAACAAACATGTGGTGGTTGAAGAACTGTTGCAACTTTTCATTTGTGAAGTTGATGCAAAGTTGCTCAAAACCGTTGTACTGTGTTGTTCAGTAACGTTTTTTGTGGGGAGGAAAATAAAGCACACAATATAGTATAAAAGGGTTCTATGCCTTTTTCCTACTATATGTCAAATTTCATAAACTTAACAATGGTTAGTCAGTTCTATCGTCCTCATTATCAGTCTTTGGAGATGGTGAGTCTAACCATATAATCAACATAATAATGAACAATAAAGATCCTGTGCCTCCAATTGCCTTTGGAAGTGACACTCTCTCTCACTAAAACATATGTATTATCCTGCAGATAAACGGCAGTATTGTTGAATAAGAGCTATTGCAACAGTCAATTGGCATATCCTTAAAATTTTGTTGACTTGTACCTTCTCAATCAGTTCAATACAAGCCAAGAGATCCATTCCGAAATCAATGAAGGTCCATTGAATTCCCTCCTGTTTGTATTCTTCTTGTTCGAGAACAAACATGTGATGGTTGAAGAACTGTTGCAACTTTTCATTCGTAAAGTTGATGCAAAGTTGCTCAAAACCGTTGTACTGTTTGTGGAGAAACGATTGGTAAATGCACACAAAATGGGTATAGAAGGGTCCTAAGCCTTTTATACCAAACTAATAATCTTAACATGATTAGTGTGTTTCGTCCTTATTATCAGTCATAGGGAGATGATCAACATAATCAATGGTAAAGGTCCTGTAAAATAAATAGACGTGCCTCCAATTATCTTTGGAAGTGACACTGTCAATTGAACATGAAACAAATTGAACAGTAACAGGATAATTCGATAGGGTTGGGTTGACTTGTACCTTCTCAATCAGTTCAATACAAGCCAAGAGATCCATTCCGAAATCAATGAAGGTCCACTGAATGCCCTCAATCTTGTACTCTTCTTGCTCAAGCACAAACATGTGGTGATTGAAAAATTGCTGGAGTTTCTCATTCGTAAAGTTGATGCAAAGTTGCTCAAAACCGTTGTACTATAACAAGAAATCAAATCAAGGGTGGGGAAAACACAAAAAGAAAAGTAAAAACATCAGGTTCAGGGTTCAAACCGAAGGAACAAAGAGAGAATCACCATTCAGGACAGAAGTTGGCTTTTCATCACTTATCTTGTGGGCGCTGCAGCATCTAAAGAGCGAGAGAGCTTTAACAACATTTTTGGGGTTGAAGGGTTGAGATGATGTTTTTGGGAGATTTACGGGGTTAGAGAGCTTTAAGCACCTTCTCAATTAAATCAATGCAAGCCAGCAGATCCATTCCGAAATCAATGAACTCCCAGTGGATACCCTCTTTGGCGTATGTCTCCTGCTCGAGGACGAACATGTGGTGGTTGAAGAATTGCTGCAGTTTTTCATTTGTGAAGTTGATGCAAAGCTGCTCAAAGCCGTTGTACTATATAGGTTATATAGAGTTAGATAAGTTGATTAGTCAAGATAGCTTAGGAAGCCCCGCTGAGATCCTTTTGACACGCGTCCGCCCAGGAACCGAACCTACAAGTCATCTTCAAAGTGGTCCAAATGTCCGTCAATCGTCACAGTTTCACGTATTGAAAGTATTGATTGCGTCTTCGTTGCGTTGTCTAGAAAATACTCACGTCGAAAATCTCGAAACCAGCAATATCCAGCACACCAATGAAGTGCTGACGCTTCTGCTGGGTGTCCAGAGTCTCGTTACACTTCTTCACGAGCCACTTGAACAGACGATCGAAGATACCCTTGCAGAGGGCACCCACGGAGTTGGTGACCTGATCCTTGTTACGACCCTGGGTCACGAACTCGTTGCCGACCTTGATCTTGGGCTTCAGCAAGTTCTTGTACAAGTCCTGGCAATCCACGCCCAACAACTTGGCCACGCGCTCACCCTCCTCGACGCCATCGGCCTCGGCCTGCTCCTCGCGACCCCTCTGCTTGAACTTCATGCCACCCATGTGCATGACAGCAGCGGTGATCTTGTACACGTTGTCCTTCTCCTCCTGTGTGAAGCCCAGCACATCGAAAGCTTGCTGTTGTTCGCGATGGGAAAGTAGAGAAATCACGTTAGATTTTTTCAACGAAATTGCGCTTCGCTTAGTTGTATTAATATTTGTCTTTCAAATTGACAGGAAACAATTTGCATCAATCAACAACAAGCACTACAGTTAATCTAAATCTTACAGGCTAAACACACAGGGTTAGAATCTAGGCAATCTAAGTATTTTACTTTGCATTCTCAACAGGATCTTTATACAAGGGTGTAAGTTTTATATTCTTTTCCAGAAGATCTTAACACAGTTTTTTTCTTTTGGATAAAATATCTAGGACAAATGACAGAATACTTATTTTTCAAAGTTCCATGACAATATAATAAATAAAGAATGATGTATAAAATGTTCCAGAGACTTGAATCCGGAATTTAACCAGTGCATGAATGACATCAACATTTGATATCTACTGACATCACTGATATCTATAGGAGAAAGTAACTCATTCCATAATCATCACCAAATTATTTATCATAGTTTTTCATCTGGTGTTGACAACAGTGGGTCCGGGGGAAACATTTGATCTACTGGACAAAATCCATCTCACCAAACTTTTCCCCATCAACTTACATCAGTGAGTTGACATTCCTCACCATCGTCCATGTTGGGAATTGTAATCTTTCCTTGTGACACATTCACGTAATCGTAAATGTCATTGGAAAGGATACACTTATCTTTATATTTTACAAAAAATAAACGTTTTTTTTTTGAGAAAAAAAAAGAAAGAAAAACATCGTTTAATACACCTGTACATGAGAGAGAGTAAATAATGAGAAAATATATAATCTCCCCGCGAAGACGCATCACTATGTATGTACATAAGACGAAACAGTTTTCCCCCAGGTGAGAAGCAAAAATCAACAGCCAGGAGCGAATTTAATCTGTACATTTTGATAATGATCAATTTTATCCAACATTCTCACAAAAATTTCATCAACCAATTGTCCATTCGAAGATCCGCTCCCAACTTAATTCATAAAAATGTGAAATTTACAATTAAAAAAAAAGTATAAAAGACTCTCGACTGACACACACTTACGTCCGTTTCATCAAACATTTCTTCATCATTGATGCCCGGGATGCGTGTTTTGCCAGAACAAATGAGCGGATAGTCACTTATCCGCTGACTGAGGAGCGTTTTTTCTAGTCATTATCAAAATGTATCATGGTAAATAATCTCCTGGACACATCGCCCATCATATCACCCCAAAAACCCCACTCGCAGTCGCCCCGCATTAGCACAAAACATCTCTTTGCGATATAATGGTCACTTTGTCACAAGTTCAACAGTGATTAATCTGAGTTAGTGTGAGGCATAAAAAACAAATTTGGTTGATATTTCTTGTTGTCAGTTGTAGTAGCAACAATATTGAGTATACGTAAAGAGCCAATTCTTACGTCGGTAATACACATTTCCTCAGAGTCATCGACACTTGGGATGGTAGTTTTTCCCTGAGAGACTATGTGATAGTCGTAAATGTCGTTTGACAACAAACACACGTCTAGGAGAAGGTAACAAAGGTAAGGTTAGATTAGGTTTCATCGCCATCAATGGTAAGTATATATAGGTTCTGTGCTACGTCACCATTAATAGCTGTTATTAATAAAAGGTATTTCTCTCTCTTCAAATTGTAAATATAAACAAAAATACCAACTAATCTGAATCCTGTTGGATCAGATATCAGAGGTCATCAGTCTACCCAATCTAGGTCTAGGTAGGTTAATTGTCAAAAAGTCTAGGAAAACGGTTTCAGGGGTTGTAGGATTTCGAGACCCGAGATATTTCGGGGTTTTCTCCGCCTCCAAAACCGCAATCGCATTCCCCTATTCGTGAAGTAGGTAAAATCCTTGGGTCAAAGGCCTTTTTCTTTGGTCTAAAAACAAAGATGCATTTGTGATCCACGTCAGTGGGTATTTTGGAGTCAACAAACACGAGGACAAGATAGGGGTGAAAAGTCAAAGCTCAAGATAATTTGGGACAGGTGAGAAAGTAAGGTCAGATGTGACCGCAATCTGTTCTTACGTCGGTCAACTGGCACTCCTCGCCGTCATCCACATTAGGGATGGTAACCTTTCCTTGGGACACGACATAATAGTCGTAAATGTCATTGGAAAGCAGACACTGGGCTGGATGAAGATAAAATCACATCATTCTTACATGTTTCTGGATCAACAAAGGTACATATATGGAGGTAACAACAAAATAGGGTAACATACAGGACACACCCTCCGTTCCCTTCCTTCCCCAACCCTCCTCAACCAAAGAAAACACCCCCCACGCATGACCCTAGTTGCGTCTTTCTCACGTCCACCCAAAGCAAAAGCGAAGCATACCTTTGAGCCCATCAACGGATCCAGACATCATTTGGTAGAAAATGTGGTAGGACCGCTCGAGAGACTGCTGAGAGATGACACGAGCTTTCTCCAACAGGTCTGCAAGGATTAATTGGTTTACCATCAATCATCAGTCCTGAAAGTCTAAACTTCATCTCCAAACTCACAAGTCTCGATATCAGCACCAGCCAGTTTGCCAGTAGGACCGAAGTGAATACGGATGAATTTACCCTAGGAAGTGGAAGAAGGCAAGTCAGCATTTTGGATTTTTGATCTTCACACATTTTCCATGACACTTACGAAACGAGAAGAGTTGTCATTACGCACAGTCTTGGCGTTACCGAAAGCTTCCAGGACGGGATTGGTCTGCACAACCTGATCCTCAAGGGTGCCCTTCTTGGAGCTCTCCTCCTTCTTTCCACTAGCACCGACAGTGGCGAAGTAGGCAATTACCTTCTTCGTGTTCTCTGTCTTTCCGGCTCCGGACTCACCGGTGATCAACATAGACTGATTCTGGTGGTTCGTCAACATGTCCACGTAGGCACCGTCAGAGATGGCGAAGATATGGGGTGGCACCTCATTACGGCGCTTGCCACGGTACATCTTCGCGCAGCGATTTGTGTACACGGGGAAACGCTTGTAAGGATTGATGGCGACGCAGAAAAGACCGGAGTAGGTCTGTAATTGTATCAAGAGTCAACGTTAGAACGGCCAATCCAGACAAAGTCAAATTTGACCTGCAAAATCACAGAAACAAAACGTTTTGGCTTTCGTCAACGCCACTTTAAATGCAATTGTCCTCTCTCTGCATTTAATGGACGACTTACAACTTTCATGTCAATCATGAGCCAAATTCTTTTATCTAAACTACATTGCGAATTATTTACGAATTTGTCGTCAACAAGAAACACACAATCAATCCATCCTGGTGGCATTTTTTGCCAGTTCTCCATGATGATGATTCACGATTTTTTTGTACGCTGCGTTTCTTCACTTTCTCGTGACGCCTTTTGCGAATGTCTGTCAACCGCAAAGAGCGCAAAAGGAGCGAGTTTAATGCAACTGACACAATAACACAAAATCAGGACTTTGTGAGTCGGTATCACAAGTTTTTCTTCCTTGCTCAAGGATAGCCAGAGTTAACACAGTTTAGATAAGGGCAGCTTTGGTTTTGTTAAGTCAGGATTAAACATCAGTTTTCGGGGCAGGATGGTTGAAATGGGAACAGTTACTGGGGTTAGTACAGCTTGCAAGCTAGTTAGATTGCGCCTAGCCAAAGTGGCCAGACGCACAAGTGTTACCAAGGATCGTTGGTAAAGGTAATAAGTTCCAAGTTAGGCTTCATCGGCAAACGCTTTGTCCTTCTGTACTGGTTTTTCCCGTATGTTCGGAGGACGTTGGTTAGAGACAAGATCTCTCCATCGGCATTCGCATAGGAAAAGAGCGCGTCACTTACGTAGATGAGCTGATTGTAGTATCTCTGCTTCAAGTTATGAAGCACAGAGGCGTCATTGAGGTATGTCAAGTTGGACATATCCTCAGCTTTTTCATACTTGGGTGGATTGACTTGTTGGAGTGCGTCTTTCTTGAAATCTTTTGTCTGATCGTTCGCGTGAGAGAGAGAGAAGAGGATACCTTATTAGTTATGCCATTGAATGATACTCACATAGATCAATTTGTAGTAGTAGCGCTGCTTCAAATTGTGCAGCACAGATGCTTCATTGAGATAGGTAAGGTCAGCCATATCTTCGACTTTCTCGAATTTGGGTGGGTTGACTTGGGATAATTGATCTTTCTTGAAGTTTTTCTCCTTTGGCAAATTAGACACGCACACAATTGAACATACAAACGGAAGAATTCACTTAAAAGGTTGTCTCAGATCGGCCAATTGGTGAAATTTTCTTGCTTTACGCAATCATATAAACATCTATAAATCTTTGTTATCCAGGATCAGGAGTTGAGCTTGTAGTCCAAACTCCAGCCTAGTTCCAATTGAGGATGAATTTTGTTTCAGGACAAGATGGATATTTTGGGATTAGGGTTTTGGGGATTTTGGGTTTTGAGTTTAGGGGTGTGTTAGTGTGCTGAAATCGAATGAATTACCTCTCCACCGGGCAAGCCAACGGTGACCAGGTCACCCTTAGTAGCCTTGATCTCACCCAAGAGATATCCGTCCTTCTCATCGGGCACCCAGCAATTTTTCTTCGAATCGTAGGGTTTCGTCTGATCGATACGCTTCTGCTCGAGTGACACGAACAGATATGGGGTTGGATCGGGATCCTCTCCTTCCTGTTTCACAACCTTCGGCATGTTGACGGGTTCTTTTGAGACTTTGTCTTCAACAAGAGAGAGAAACGAGGGGCTTTAAGAGACACGTGACCGAAAATCAGCCCTGAAGCTTCGCTATATAGAGAGGGAAAAAATCAATCGATTAACTTTCAATTGCGATATTAAAGCCAAAAACGAGAGAGAGAGGGAGAGATTCGTCCATTCACAAAGCCGGCAATTGGTGGTGGTTCACATCGTAAGACAAATTGTTGTGTAATATCATATTCATGATCACCCAAAGTGGGCACACACAGGCCATGTCGTCAATTTTGATCAAGAATTCAAGAATGCGAAAGATCGTCAGCAAAGAGTCTCTCGTTCACTTTCAATGTACCTAAAAATATCCACTCTCAGTAGCGCCAGTTAGAAAAAAAAAATAACTTTAAACACCATTTCGAAACTGTTTCAGGGTTTTTCACCACTATTTCGCCTTCTGAGAGTGAGAAGAACGCCTCTTTTTCCATCAGCGCGCGCGCGCGTATCTTGTGAAAATTTTTAAAATAAATCCTCTCTATGTGTTCCTCAAATCCACAGGCGCGCACTCATGAGGAAATTCTCAATGCATAACACTGTCGAATGGCCTATTAATAGCATCAAATCCATCCTCCTCTTGAATATCATACAGCCGGCAGCATACGAGCATATTGTCGGGTATGTGATTTAAAATGCTCTCTCATTTGCAATACACCCTCGAGATCCTGGTCAAGGCACTGGATATCTCCTTTTTCGGTCATCCATCGCGATCATACGATCGTATCACTTGGATTTTACACATAAAGTGCGATTCTATTTCGAGCGCTCTTCTATTTACGTAACTCAGCTCACTACAAATATGTTCAGCATCCATGGACCTGCAAATGGTGTTTTGTTGCGAATGGAATTTGAGATCTCATATGAGAAAATTTTAATTTCAATTATTTGTGATTCTTTGGGGCGCGGAATGGGAAAGCATCCCATAAATTGCTTCACCAAGCATAGCTCGGTGCATTCTGCAACATTCCTCGAGAGTCTCGGTATTTGCCACCACTTTCACCACTTGCAATGAGTTCATTGAATCTCAGATGAATCCTGACAGGTGTACTTTTGCATTAGGAATGCACCAGCTATGCATCGATCACTATTCTTCACTTTCTGTCCATTTAATTTCATGCCTTGCGATGTGATCCGTTCACCATAAAAACCGCGCTCTTCACAATTCAGGAGATCCTCAGTTATCCTTCAGATTGAGATCCAATCGCAGAATTCCGATATAGACATCCGCGCCGTAATCCAGAACATTCAGGTTGTATTTCACCACACAAAATATTTTCTCTTTTCTCCACTGATTTTAAAAGTCCTTTCATCAAAATCACCAATGAATAGAAACTCTCCGGTTTTTTCTTATAAAAATTAAAATCCACTTTGCCTTTAAACCTTTCAATACAAATAATCTCTCAATTGGCTTGAAGATTGCTTCAGAAAAAATCTCTCTCTCTCTTGATTTAAGAAAAACTCATGAAAAATAATCCCTACACTTACGCGTTCGAAAGCCGTTCTGAACAGAGAAAACGGAAAAGTCGCTTTTTATACGTAGCAATTTGATACCAGTCGGATAAACGAAATTGGCACCAATCGGATCGTCCGACACTCATGCCCGGGCTTGGCTCCCTTTTTAGTACACACTAAAATATGAAGAAAATTGCACATACAGCGACGCATTCGTGATGCTGGCCACACAACACACCCATTCTTTTCACGTACAAAAGCCATCTCCCCACATGCGAACACATCGCCTCCTGAGCATTCCTCACGCACGCTCCCGCCGCCCCGCACGCCGCGCACTTGGCGTGTGTGCGGCCGCTGCCCGTGTATTGGAGGCCCCCACGATCGCGCCTTCGTCCGCCACTCGGAGTGTAGTCACCTCAAGTGGCAACACATCTCAGGGAGGATCTCTTCTCCTCATTCTTCACGCCACCACGCGATGCTTCAGAACGTCAACATTCTGCCTCCCAACATCCTCATCAATGATCCGTGCCGCGCAAGAAGACCACGAGCAGCAGCATATCAATATATCAGGCCGCACATGTATAAATCCCCCGCGAAAATTATGTCTCAGGCGAGGAAGAGCGACGAGGTACAAGTCATAATTCATAAACATCACCTCCACGCGGCTGGACAAACGTGGGCGGCACGAGATGAATGCGATGACAAACATCAAGAGTCTCGAATTGGGATGATGGAATCAGGATCAAGGCCAATTGCTTCGATAAACTCACTTGCCAATACTCATCATCTGACGAGAAGTGCGCTTCTTGAATATCTCTCAAATGCAAGGCTTTTAGTCGCCTGAAACTGTGTCAATAAGAAATCTATTCAGGTGAAAGAATTGATCCTGAAAAGCTTCCACCAAGAAATCATAGAAAACACACAATTACAGACTGAATTACAGCAAAAACGAGAATTCAAAAATAAACGAATTTCGCCGGAAAAAGAGAATTTCAGGACTAAAGTTCGTGGAGGATCTATAGACGATATTTGAACATCTAGGAAATTATGTCACGAAATTAGTAAGGAAGGAAATGAAGATAGACATTCCACTAGAATCTCATAAGAAAATTTCATGTTATCAAGTGATCAATTTGTCAACAATCTTGAATATCTCTTGACATCGAAAGACGACAATTGGAAGTGAATTTCATTGGGCTTTTGGAAGTAAAAGTGCCAAAGCAGTGGAACATAACTTTATGTTCTCATTTAGAGAACAATCAAGTCCAAGTTGCACGTAAAATTTGCTAAGAATTTGCATATAGTCAAATCATAATGTCGCCCTTTTTTCCCGTTCAATAACTTGAGTAATTTATTGCACTTGAAAAAAACACTTGGTTTTTCGCTATAAATACAACACACAGAGAGCAATTTCTCTAGTGTCGTTGTCACGCAATATGCCGCTCTATAGTGCCTCCCTGTGCACTATAGCGTGTAAATTGAATTAATGTGAGCGAAATATCTTATTACTCAACACATGATACAGTTTGCCTAATTGAACGCTTGTAAATTTTACGGAATTTCGCCGCTAGAATATTTCCGTCGGCGAAAAAATTGGCGCGATTGTGCAAAATTCCTGCATTGCATTATGGGTGACTTTCTTTGCGCGCAGAAATGGGGGCTGTTTCTCAATGTCACGGAACATTTCTGGGGCGCGCATCGTTGGGGGAGCGAAGAGAGAGTGAGAGAGAGATGTTGTGTGCACAGAAAGTTCTCGATGCCCACAAGTAAAACTCGTCTATTTGTGACTCCGAAGAGTGCGAGTGAGTGTGCCGAATGTTTGATCAGATGAAAGAAATTAAACGATCTTTAATTATATAATGAACACATTTTATGTAAGGTCAGTGGGCCGAAAGCAATTATGCCTGTTCGAGGGTGTGAGGAAAAAAACCGCTCCGCGTCTACATTCTGTATTTATTTTTTTGTCGACTGAAAAATCTATAAATTGCAGAGCCTCTCGTCGAGCCCCAAAATGTATGAACTGCGATGAAGGAGGATCGCTGATGGAGACTCTACGATATATCGTTTGTTTCCATTACACGCGATCTGAATGATTTTTCCTCAGCAGACAAGCAAGTTCACCCACTTTTTTCTTCCATCTTCTCAATTCATTAACACAAATCCCGCGCGATATCTTCCAAAATGTTACTAATTATAAGTCAGGAGAGACAATTTTTAGCCATGTAAAATGAAAGTATTTTCAACAAATCGTCAGAGATTGTTATTCAGCCAGAGATCAAGTGAAATAGACGTGGAAACTCTCTTTCTTCTTCTTCTCACTCTCTCGAAGAGAAGAACCAAAATAGCTCTGGTGATCAAATATGTGATAGTCTGAGGACATTTTCTAATCTTTTATTGGATCACTCTTTGGTTATTATTAGTCCTCGAAAACCTGTTAACTCTTTTGCTAAAAAGTATTCTTCTCTTTTATCAACAGCCCAAAAGGTGCGCGGCTTTAGAGAGAGAGAGAGAGTCCTTGACTATTGAAGGCAAACTAATAGCCTAAAGTCCCAAATGACGCCTGAAGATCAACCAACGCAGGGAAGATTTTGCGAACAGAGAAAGTAAAATTCATGTTGAGACACATTGCATATATCCCATAATTTTTGGCATATCGCAGATAAACCTCACAATTTAATGGCTAATTTTGTGAATATTTTCAGCTCCGCAATACATAAAATACAAAACTATTTCGGGACGAATAGATGAAACACTTCTTCAATATGAATTGAAGAATTCTTTGAATGAAAATCACGGCAGAGCACAGACGCATGAGAATATCTTGGCAGTGGTGAAATTGCTTAATTTATGATTTTTCACAAGTTAAAATATTCACTGAAGATGCACCAACACGTGTGCAAAAAATAGTGCAATTCATTACCTATAAATGCACTTCTTTCGCATCAAGACAACTCGCTCTATCGAGAGACAGAAAAAATGAAGCTTCTTGGCGTGCACTGTCGATTCCCTTGGTATTGAGGTCAATGTGGATCCTCTGAAATTTAAAATGAGATGGCCAAATCTTCAATTTCATCCCACTGACGTACACTCAAAGTCTTTCAATACTCTCTAAATCCTAATCCTAAACCTTTCTGTATATAAACAGTCAAGCATTACTGATTCATTTCCTGGTTGGAAACATGAATTTTACAGCCATAAAATGTTTGCATCGCGAAACAGCTGATTTTATTGGAAATATTAGAATTTTAGCAAACCAGTATTTTGATTTCTTCATCAAATTTGAGTTACATCATTCTATTTCTCCACATTAAAATGAATTTTGATGACACACTAATCGAAAAGGCAGACGAGCAGTCTTAAATTTTTTCAGAGTCTAAACAGTAATTAAGAAATTTGACTTTTTAATTCCAAAACACCCAAAAACCTGATCGCAATCAATCATTAACTTAATTTATATTCTGTCAACTCTCTGCCAAAAAATGAGCGGAGCTTTGAAGGCGCATTCCAAAGCTCCAAATGCCTATAAATCCCCAACTTCCTTTTCCCAACATCGTGCGCACAGTCAGCGAAGATCGCGCTCTGAATCTGCCCAAAATCTCACCCATGATCACTGTCTCTAGGTGTGAGCACGCGGCAAGAGGGCGGGCAACGAGCAGAGAAAAAAAAGCGCCAAGATATTCGAGTGACTAACAAGAATACCGTGGCAAAAAATGGGTGAAGTATGCGCCAAACAATTTTTAGAAATAGAATATTGTGCGAAGACTGAAAGCTTAACTCTGGACTTATTTTTAAACTCAACATATCACAAGTGCGACTGTGTGGCGAATGTTTTGTACGCGCCCAGAGAGCGAGAGAGAGAGAGGGAGAGTGAGTGAAAAGCCCACACACAATCACTCGCCTGGCAGCCACCTTACACACTAATTTATCTATGAGAAATTTAAATGTGAAAATTATTGTGCTATTTAAAATATGCCCCACGAACGCTCAAAGTAGTGTGAAAGGAGCTGTGAAAAATTAATAAAGCGTCAGGAATGTTGAGAATTATTTTAGTTCTTCAAATACCATCTTCTTTTTCTCATCCTGCCACATCCCTAAACAATCCTCTTTGTCTTCTCATCTCCTCTATCCGTCCGAAGAAACTCTATTTTCTGGCCTATTTTCAGCACACAGCCATTTGCGAAAAATTTCCCAGCAAGCCAACAAACAAGAAACAAACACCATCGTAATCAATTGTGTTCAATTCAAATCATTTCCCGACTGTCGATGGGGTGGGAAATAATTTCAGTTCTACGCGCAATTGTACATCTCATCAGACACATCATAATTTTATGCATAGATACGATAATTTCTCATTTGGCAGTGAGTTACAAAGTTGATGATTATGAATTTTCTGACTTCTCAATTACCAGAAGCACTCACTAAATATTATGAGTTATTAATTATAATTTTACCATTATAACGAAATATATTCATTTGCCGAAAGACACGTGAAATTTCTCGCATAGACATCCCTCAGTGACACTTTACTTCATAATTGCACCTCACCTATGAATTATAAATTGAGCCACTAAATTCCCAGCATTTCCCATGTATTTGCAGCCAAATGCGACATGATTATTTCGTGACATCGCATGTCACTGTGCGAATTCAATTTTGGAATGTACCTTGAGACATTTCAAATCATCGTTTTCACCATCAAATGTACATTGAAATTATCTATGTTGCCCAGAAATGACTCGAAGTAATTTCAAAATATAATTAAATCCACAAAACCACAACAGGAAACAGTTTTTGTACTGCTTTTCTGTTCTTTTCTAAACTGCTTGAAACTAGAAAAAATAGAATTAAAATGTTTACTCAATTTAAACAGAGAATTGTTTAAACAAACAGCCAAGGGGAAATTATTGGGCGATTTCTGAGGATTATTTGATTATTTTCTCTATATATCGCCACCAGAGGGCAGCGAAGTTGGCGTGGGGGACGCTAATAATATCGCAATATTCACTTTATGACTTCTTGGCGTAATCCTGGTCAGGAAAGAACATAATTTTGACGCGAAAATGAAGCTTTTCGCACAGACAAATTACTTTTTTCATCATCAGCTGATTAGCTAATCAAGTTAAAAATGCATAAAGAAGTTCTGATTGTATTTCCCAAAAGTAAATTTGGCCCTTCAAGTTATTAAACATTAGCTATGATATTTAACACTGTTAACAGATTACTTGAAAGCTTTAAAACGCCCCAAAATTAGCTCATTGTTAAAATTGTAGTATAAATTGGCTTTGGAAATACAATCGGAAATAATACATTTCCTTAAACTGCTGCCCTCTAGCGGCAATTTGTGGAGAAAATAATTAAAAATTTATATAAAAAAAAAATGATTGATTCGTCACAAAATTAATGCTCTGAATTCGCAAGTGATTTTCCTCTTGTTCAAAGCTAATTCCAGTGCGCAGTTTTTTCAGAGTGTATCTCTGATTACTAAGGAATTCTCCAGAGAAAGAGCGCGAGAATGCGGCGAAGTTCATTCGAGTACAGAAAATCATATCGATGATTCAAACTTCCTGGATTGAACTGTAGAATCCAAGAGCAACGTCACTATTGTTGACTCAACTCATCCAATATTTGATTTCCAGTGAATTTGTGGTTCTAAGAAAGCGTCTTTTTCTGCAAAGATTTGAGAATCCACCCAAAAATCACCGGCTTTCAAGGACAGCCCGTGAAATTTGCAGCAGGAATGCACACATGAATTGCCGTTAGTTGGGGAAGACTGACCCATTAAGCCAGCAGTCATCGACATAATGAATTTTCCAAAATGGTAATTTATGCAAAAACTCACGGAGCGTAACTGAAATTTTGTCTAACACGACAATGCCGATTCCAACACTCAAGCGACACATTCTCTCCAGTTGAATGGAAAGATTTGGGCGAGAGAGAGAGACAGAATCCCGAGCTGGAGGGAGTACGATCGATCTGTCTCATTGCAAAATATACTTTCACCTGTTGCTCGCCTCAAATCCCGAACTCCAGTCGCCAGTCAGCAACGAGATACGGTCGGATTGACGCACATTTTGTCGCTCTGGGTCGCGCGCTTGTCAAAGACTTCTGTCTCCTCTTCTCTCGCCCACCATCTGGAATTCCTCAGTTGTGGAAGTGCTCCGAAAATGCTGCTGCCGTTGCTCGTGATCTGTGCCCAAATTCTCAGTGACACGCTGGCCAATGATAACCTCCAGGTGGCCTATCAGTGGAGTCAGATTGACTTCAACTTCTCCAGTGCCTCGCATCGAGACAGTGCCATCAAGTCCGGCCAGTACATTCCCAGTTCTGTCGTGCCCGTTGGTATTGAGGTGCAAACGGACAGACTGTTTATCACGCTGCCCCGCTGGAAGGCTGGCGTGCCCGCTTCGCTAGCCTACATCAAAATGAATGGTCAGTATTTGCACCTCCTCGGCCCATCATCATCAGCATTCCCGCCGCATTTTCAGGGATTTGCAATTGTCTCGCCACTTTCTTCATGACAAATATGACTCACACACATTTCGTCGCGTCCATCACCCGCTGCCATACCTGCAAATCGACGGCATTTCAATGACCATAATTTAGGTAGAAGACAGAAAATGTTCTAATGTGACAAAGAATCAAAGACTGCAAATTGTTTGCTGAAAGAAATCGTCTATTTAGCTTCTTGAGACAGAAAACTAATGATAATGGGAGAAATTTTCAAATCCACACCAAGAAGAATGTGCAGAAGATTGTTCAGTGATAGAATATTCAATCGCTCTTGAATATGAGATTAATTGCGATTCTTTATTCATGATGGAATGATCATTGAAAGCACAGAATCGCAGATACGCTAGCGGGTGACGCACGCGACCACGTCTCAGCTTCTCTCACTCCCAATCTCCATCTCACTCACTCGCCTTTCTCATGCCACAATATACTTCTTGTATGCCGCGCGCTGAGCCCGTTGTGTGATGGTGATTGTATGACGCGCTCCCCGTCGAAAAGATCATGCCCAAAAGAATGCCTCGCAGCCTCTATTCAGCGCAGCCACGAGAATTCCCACCCAGAGCAAATCGGCAAATTGGCCTGAGAATAAAAGTGGTTCCATTATACACACTCACCTACTTCCTCGCCTGCACACGCACGGCGCAGAAAAACCCAAGCTGGAAGTGATGAAAAGAAAAACCTTCATGAATCATTGGGCCAAAGTGAACTCACTCAATTTCTCTCTGAATGGGAAATTCATGGCGTCATGACCTCATGCAAGGTTATTCCCCAGGGGGAGATAATATGCCTTAGAGCCGTACACCACTTCCAAACACTTCTAGAACTTGAAATTCATAGTCTGTTTCCACATGATTGCTCCAATTATAATAAATCTTTAAGGTTTCCATCCGATATTTCTATAAGAACCGAATTATAACCGTTTTTCTGGTATTTCTCCGATCATAACCTCAAAATTATCAATAAGAGATGTTTGAAAAACTCCCTTTAAAAGTTTTCAGATCACAAAATCATCTATTATGATTTTCCAATGAACTCAAAAATTGCTGATTCACAGTCAAAATCGAGCAAAAAGTTTTCCAAAAGAACATTATTCGAGTTCTAATCAATATTTTTGAGGTTATATTCAATCTTTTCACAATTTTCAATGCTTTTTGGGCATAAACGGTTCAGAATTGTGAACTTTATCACATGCAAACGCTTAATTATGCCAATGACAAGTGATCTTTTCGGATTTGAGCATAAGAATTGTTGTGTTTGAATGCGAATTATTCACTAAATCTGTCCTTAATTCGTTACATAACCTACAAAAAGGATGAAAATCCAAATAAATCTAATGAATCTCGATGATTTGCCAGTAAAAAGGGTCTCAGGAAAGGAATATTGCAAGGTTTTTAACTCTTCCCCTTCCCAAAAACTCAGAAATTATCTTCCCTTTGGTTATTCCTGCATAAGTCAGTGCGCAATCACGAGGATTTGCGCGTCAAGAGGACATTCCATCACGACTCTATCCGAAACCGCGCACACGAAACGCGTTAAGAGAGAACGTTCTTCACGCTGGCCTCGCGCGATACACCATTCAAATTGTCACGATTTAACACAGAATCTTAATTTATGCGATTGCCAAGAGTCTTAAACGCTTGTTCACCCTTGAAAGTATCGCATTTCGGGAAAATTCCCTCGTTTCACCAGTTCAATCGCTATAAATATGGAAAATTATTCTATTTGGTAAATTGACTCTGGCTTAGGAAAATTACTACCTGTCATTATTAACCGAAAAAAACCAACCCTTCAATGTCAGTGTGAAATCCCAAAGTGTTTACGACTTTCATCAGCAATGCTCAAAGTGTTTTCTGCCAAATAACAGTCTCGAGGAAGTTTTCTTGTTTATTATTATCGTCACAGAAGCATTTTTGCCGGTTAATTCGAATAAATCACCTTAAAGATCCCCAAAAAACTTTGAATGTCAGTCATTTCTGAATATCGATCAGCTTGTGTGACTTTGAGTGACCCAACCGTTAAATTTTATCACTTTTTTCACGTGTCGCGAGCGAACCTTGCGAAATACACGCCGCAAAGTGTGATAAAAACGACAAGCACCCAAAAATATTGACACCGAGAAAAGTGAGTGCTAAATTTTTAGTGTAAATCTGGCCCAATTGGCATTGTTGCAAATTGCAAGATGACCATTTCCCATCCATTTAGCACCCCAATCGATAATTCACATCGTAAATCTGTGATAAATGACGGTGTTGAGAAAGAAATCCACACGCATCATGACAAATTCAATAATCTTCCCCGCGAAGTGATCATTTTTCACCAGGAAAATCGAGTGTTGCTCACTCTTTAAAAACCATATAGTGAATGTGTTCTCGCTATACAATAAACATAGGATTTATAAATAAATTGGCCACACACATGAGGAGGGAAAAGAGCCTCAAGAATTTTCAACTCAACTATGAAATCTCAATGAGACTATTTTCCTTACCGCAGAAACCTTCACGAGATCGCCCTTGCTGTCGCCATTTCCCAATTGGCAGGCGCACAGATTCAGTGAACACGAGCCACCAGAGATAGTATCTCCATTCAGGATTCGGGCGGATCGCTGTGGACGTCTCTGGGTGCTTGACACCGGAATTGACGATCTCTTGGGCGAAAATAAACGCATCGTCAACACGCAACTCCTCGTCTATGATCTGCACGATGACAATTTGCTGCGCCGATACGTCTTTCCGGACGATCAAGTCAAGCAGAAGTCATTCTTCGCCAACATCGCCATCGAGGATGGCCAGTGCGATGACACATTCGCCTATTCCGCCGATCTGGGATCACCGGGACTCGTTGTGTACTCGTGGAAGCAGAATGAATCCTGGCGCGTCCACCACAACTTCTTCCATCCCGATCCGCTGGCAGGAAACTACAGTATCACAGGTGATTCTTCATCCCTTCCTCATCTTCTTGATTTCTCTTCTCACGCAAAACACTTTCCAGGAATCAACTTCCAGTGGGACGACGGACTCTTTGGCCTGGCAGTGTCCAAGGCAGATCCCGAGGATGGATTCGCCACGCTGTATTTCCACCCTTTGAGCTCCACGAGGGAGTTTTCAGTCAACACGCGCTTCCTCAGGGACAAACAGCTGGCAGCCAATGATTCTGCCATTTATCGTGAATTCAAGATCCTCGGCTCTCGTGGACCGAATGGGCAATCAGGATCACAATTCCTCGATCAACTCACGGGCGTTCTCTTCTACTCGCTGCCCAATCTCAACGCCGTTGCGTGCTGGCGAACCACCAACAAGGTGTACACAATCAAGTCTCAGGGAAGGGTGTACATGAATGTGGAGGACATGCAGTTCCCCAATGACATCAAAGTCGACAATCAGGACAGACTGTGGGTGTTGTCGGATCGCCTGCATCAATTCCTGTACAGCGAACTCAATCCCAACGACATCAACTTCCGCATCCTCACGGCTGAGGTGAAGGATGCCATCGATCACACGGCGTGCGACACGAAGCCCAAAACACTCCCAGACATCATTACCAAATTAGGTGACATCCTGAGGCCGCAGAAGCCACAAGTTTCCGCCACATCGAGTCAGCGCCCAACGACAATTCTCATTCACACATTTCTCTGCATTGCAATATATTTTACTGCTGCCACATTCATGTGAAGAACTTCGCTCAAAGAGCTGCGCGATTATTTATTAACTCGCCTCGTCATTACCATTTTGTGGCCATAAAAATTTTATATAGAAGCGTATATATAGAATTCCTCCGCATTAGATGTTAAATGTCTCCTGTTTTCCCTCCCCCAAAAAAATCACCCATCAACATGAGACACAAAATGCAAACTGACATGAAATTAAAGACTCCGTTCCGTCCATCGAGCGCGCGAATGTTGCATAATCAGTTTAAGACATCGTGCCACAATCAAGTTCAAAGTGAGAGTCAATTTGCAAGAACAAGTATAGAGAGTAAAAATTGGAATAATGTATGAATTTGTTGTGAAAGTATAAATATGTAAATATATGTTTTACATTCCTTTAATTGTACAACATCGCGCTTTATTAATCCACAGAAATTTTCCACTGTCTTTCGTCATTTGCAGAGCTTCTCCATCATTCAATAGGCGAAGACAATTTTGGAATTCTCCATTTGCTTGAATTGAAGAATTACAACAACACACGTTGTTACATATGAAAATGTCTGCAAAGACATAATTATTCAATGCATAAATATTTCGATGGTTTCCTCGAAAACTATCAAAAGTCGTCTTTTGCGAGTTCTATTAGTTCAGAAATTCATAAGAATGTTAATTCTTTCTGTGTCTTTTAGTGGTTTTGCATCCTTAAATCCACTTTTAATTTGTATGATGAAAAATATCGAATATGAAGGAAAAAATCTTAGTGAATAATTCTAGTTTCTGAAGAAAAATTAATAAAATTACATAAAAATCAGTAGAATTATGAAATCTATTTAGAATTTGAGTTGCAAATCTTATAGATTATAAAGGAAGATTGCTTTTTAGGAACCGTTTAGAAAAAAGACTATCAAAACCCGATTTTTGTACTTAAATACCTTTAGTTCGTCTATCAATTCTGCACATTTTCGCTAATATTTTAATACCTAACCAATGAAATCAATTGAAAGTTAAGGAAAATAATTGGACTTGACCAATATTATCAATTTACTGGACGATAAGAGGAAGTTTAAGGGAGAAATTAGTCTAATTTCGAAGCGATTTTGACTTTAGCTAGTTTTCGAGGCACCAGATTTAAAGATTCCATCGGATTTACCGAAAAGATTCCTGAGTAATCAATCTTAGCAGATCCAGCCTTGATTATCACATCAGAGTGAAAACGCCACAGTTGCAGTTGTTGCTTGTTGAAACGACAAAGAGTTCCATCATGAATGCCATTGTTAACCTTCCGCAGCAAATTAAAAACCTAGAAATGTATTTCTGCAGATCAACAGAACTTAAATCAATATTAGAGACTCTTACAAATTCTGCTAGTTTACTTCCTTCAGCAGAGATCAGCGTGAGAAGAATAATGTACTGCATTCGATAAAATGCGCAAACTATGACAACAGAAATTTCGCTTATCTCCACATTTGGACTGCTAAAGAGGTAAACGCAGTAATAGACGGCAAAACAAGCTACTAATATTTCCCTTGCAACGATAATGAAGAGAATTCCTCCCAAAACTGTGCTGATAAGAGGAAAAAGTGCGAAGAAATCAAACAATAACGAAAAGTAGCTAAACTCCTCATTAGTATTATGTGTATTCTTATGCCATAAACTACTCGCGAACATGTTAATTTCCCTGATAAAGTACAAACAATAAAGCATCGTCATCGCATCAACATTTCGAATCACTGTCCAGAACATTTGGGATAAAACTGATGTGACATCATCGTCAATTGATCTGAATGAGAAGAGCAATATCGATAGAATCCAATCAAATAATAAAATTTTCACAGTAAACATATTTCGTAATTTAACTCTAGCCGGAATCACAAAGTATCCTAATTGATGAATTTTATCCTCAAACTTCAAAACACTGTCAATTAAGCGCAAATGAGTTTTGCAGATTAATAAATTGTAGAGAAGAAGTGCAATAAACCCAATTCTGTTGCAAAACGCTGTGAGATAAGTAAGGAAGTGAATCATTTGCGTGACTTCACTGTAAACACGAAATGGACGCACGTTGTGAGCGAATGCAAAAGACACGGCATTATTTAAAGCTTGTCCTAGCTGAAGTCCTATTACGACCCCACGAAAAGCAATCACGAGCCATCGAGCTCTTCTTCTTCCACAATAAGTTGGAATAGAGATGAATTTCTGAATGTGGAACAACCAACCAAGTCGATCAACGAACATTTTGCACCCAAATCTAAGCCCACAACTGAGCTTTCTCTGAGAAAAAACAATTCGTTTATAGTTTATTTGAAATTAGATCTAATTAGAATGTGCCGGAAGTGAAGTGATAATTTGTATTGACAAAACAACGCCCTTTTCCATCACACGAAGGATACTTAACATAATTTATTGCATCAAACCACTCAATCGCCAAGAGTCATAGAGTTCTCCATTTCCTTAAATTGAACCATCACAACAACACACGTTGTTACATATGAAAATGTCTGTAAATTTAGTAAAAGTCAATGAGGAAAGTATAATAGGATTCAACTTGATTTACCGCAAAAGCACCTGAACAGTCGACATAAATAGATCCAGCTTTGATTCTTGTGTCACAGTGAAAACGCCAAAGTTGCAGTTGCTGCTGATTAAAAGCACGACAACGAATCATCCTGTCTTGATGTTTATCCGCCAAATGGAAGGAATTGTGAAGCTTTTTCAACAGATTTGAAACCTAAGAAAGTGTTATTTGAAATGTCAAACATATCTGAGTTGTCGTGAACAGTAAAACTTACACAAACTGCTAGTTTATTTCCTTCGTGATAAATAAAAATAAGAACAATTATCAATCCAACACGCCACAATCCACGAATTACAAGAATTACAATTTCGCTGGTTGGCAAAAAAGGATTCGTGAATTGAAATACAGCAAAGTAAATGCCAAAACAAGCTATTAGAATTTCTCTTGACACTATGAAAAAGAACATTCCGCCAAGAACTACGCTGATCAGAGGGAAAAGTCCCAAAAATTCCATCAAAAGCGAGAAGAAAGTCAATTTTTCTTGATTTGTGAGTTTTCTGCGCAACAAAGCGCTGCTAAAAATGCTCATTTCCTTTATGAAATACAAGAAATAAAGAAGAATAACAGCATCAACGCATCGTATTAACGAATCAAATAATTGAGACAACACGATTCTAATGTTAATAACAGTAACACTGATTGAGAAGAAGAATACGGAATATATCAAAATTAACAGCAAAGAAATTGATATGAATAAATTTCTTATCTTCACTTTCCACACAATATTTCGGAAAGGAACGAATTGCGATATTTTTTTCTCAAATCTCAAAACACTGTCAATTAACCGCAAATGAGCGTTGCTCAAGGCAATATTGTAGGAAAGAAGAATTATAAATCCGAGTCTGTTGCAAAATGTTTCAAAGATCGCAAGAAATTCAATCATTACACTTTTTTTACTGCACAAATGCTGAGCGCGAGCATTATAATTAAGCACAACAGTTAACATATCATTGATGGTTTGACAGAGCAAAAGTCCCATAATTAGGAGACGAAAAATAATCACTGGCCATCGAATTTTCCGATTTTCATCGACACAAAGTGGAATTGATAAGATTTTCTGAATGTGAACCAAAAAACCAAGCCTTTCAAAGAACAACATTTCTCTTCGATTCGCCAATATGGAATAATCTTTTTTTGAGATCCATTAGAATAATTGAGCTTCCTTAGATAATATTAAGGGCGGGACAGACAAGCAGTTAATAAAATTATACACAATCGAGACATAATTATACAGATTAGAAAATTCTTCACTTTCACAAACTTACGAACCATTGAGGCAAAACACAGGCTTGATAAGAATTTCCTAAAGGTTTAACAACCAACCAAGTCGTTCAATGAACATTTCTATAGAATTTTAGGTCAAGAATTGAACTTCTACCTTGAAGGTTGAGTCACAAATACTCATTATCGATTTTTACTAGCTGCAGCATTTAATTAAAAGTGATAATAAAAGCTTAATTGAAGTAATATCGGAGCGACGCATGAAAAGCTTATTGGAAAAATGCACAATCAATCGATTTCGTCATTTATTTAATTAATGAAAATTCAAAATTACTATGCAATATTTTAACATTCGGTGATTATGAAGTTGCAGAATCTTCCATTTGCTTAAATTGAACCATTATGACAACGCACGTTGTTATGTAGGAAAATACCGAGAAGATTCCTGAGAAATCAATCTTAAATGATCCAGCTCTGATTGTCAAATCACAGTGAAATCGCCACAGTTGAAGTTGTTGCTTGTTGAAGCGATGATAACAAACCATTTTGAGATTGTTGATTTTTCTCAGGAGTTTTGACACCTTGAAAAGCATATTTTTATGAGTAACAACAAAACGTTTTAATGCAAATCTTAACAAATGATCTTACAAGCGAAACTAGTTCTCTTCCTTCGATCGATACAAATATTAGAAGAATAGCGAATTCAATGCGCCAAAGAAAACTCATGAGGACAAGATTGATGTTACTGATAACTAAATTTGCACCACTGAGAATATAAATGCAATAATAGACAGCGAAACAAGCAACTAAAACTTCTGTTGCCACAATCATGAAAAGCATTCCACCAATAACTGAACTAATTAAAGGAAAAAGTCCAAAAAGTTCAATCAAAATCGAAAAGAAACGCGATTTCTCAGAATTAGTGATTTTTCTACGCAATAAACTTCTTGCAAACATGTTAATTTCTTTTAGGAAAAATATACAATAAAGCAAACTTCCAGTATAAATGCAACGCATTACCGACACAAATAATTGCGATGTTAAGGATCTGAAATCATTATCAACAGAACCAACGATAAAATGTGATAATGTGAATAACCAAATGAGCATGGATAAGATAAACGCTAAAGAGTTTCTCGTCCTCACTTTCCCTAAAATATGTTGGAATATAAGAAATTGAGTAATCTTACGCTCGAATTTCAAGATACTGTTAATTAAATTCAAATGAATTTTTCTGTAAGTGAGATTGTAGAAAAGAAACAGAATAAATCCGATTCTGTTGCAAAAACACGCAAAATCAGTGAGAAAAGTAATCATTTGGCTTAAATCGTTGGTTATGTGAAAAGGAAGAGCATCGTGAATGAAACCGAAAGACACAGCGTCATTGCAAGATTGAATCACAAGAAAAACTATAATTATTCCACGAAAAATTTTCACTGATAATTTACTTTCAGATTCAAGTCTATAGTTAGGAATAGAAACGAACTTCTGGATGTCTAACAACCAACCCAAACGATCAACGAACATTTCTACTCGATTTCCTGTCACGAATTGACTTTATGTCTGTCTTCTTTATGTTTCAATACAAACAGTAAACGCGATAAA